TTCCTTCCTTCCTTCCTTCCTTCCTTCCTTCCTTCCTTCCTTCCTTCCTTCCTTCCTTCCTTCCTTCCTTCCTTCCTATAGCTGCTCATCTCAACCAATGACTCTGAGCACCTTACAGTTGTAAAAACTAAAAATTTCATGCAGCTGTTGGCCACCTCACGTTTTCAGCTGATGTGCTCTGTGGCCCGTTTGAAACCTCATTTTCAAGGTTTTTTTTCAGGAAGATTGATCTGACTCCATTCACTTTCTCCAAGGTGGCCCAAGAAAGAGAGAAGGCCCAGCAGGAAGAGGAGGCAACGAAGAGAGAAAGCAAAGAAGTCCCAAAGAAGGAACCTCCCGCACCCAAAACTTATCGCACAGGAGTTGGGAAATACATAAATATAGCAGCAGCGTAAGTTCTGGTTGTATTTTACTTTTTGGAATTCCTAGGTTCTTTTCGATGGGGAGATCAAGCAATCCTTGCATGTGTATGTGATCTAGAAAAAAATAACCTCTGCGGGTTGATCCTATTGAATTTGTGCGAACATTTTTGTGGGTTCAGGTAAGTGAAAAATAGAAATAGAAGGATGGGATAGGATAATGAATAGAATAGAATGGAATGGAATACAATAGAATATGGAAAGAATAGAATATGGAAAGAATAGAGAATAGAATAGAATAGAATAGAATAGAATAGAATAGAATAGAATAGAATAGAATAGAATAGAAAATAAAAAATAAAAAATAGAATAGAATATAGAATAGAATATAGAATAGAATAGAATAGAATAGAATAGAATAAAAATAGAATGGAATAGAATAGAAAATAGAATGGAATAGAATGGAATTAGAATAAATAGATTAGAATAGAGAATAGAATATAAAATAGAATAGAACAGAATATATAGAATAGAATAGAAAATAGTATAGAATTAAAATAAATAGAATAGAATAGAATGGAATAGAATAGAATGGAATGGAATGGAATGGAATGGAATGGAATGGAATGGAATGGAATGGAATGGAATGGAACGGAACGGAACGGAACGGAACGGAACGGAACGGAACGGAACGGAACGGAACGGAACAGAACAGAACAGAACAGAACAGGAAAACATAATACTAGGATGGAATGGAATAGAGAAAAGGAATAGAACAGGACCAAACTAGAATCAGTTGGTCCCAAAGGAAAGCAACCTTAGAGCCAGTTAGATGAGTGGAGGAAGGCCAGATCCCTTAAGGTGATTGCTTCCTGCTTCTCTTGACCTCCCATTCAAAATGACATTAGAACTTTTCACGCTTCACTTTTTTTAATGTTCCAAAACTGGCTCCTCCGAAAGAAGAGGCGGAAAGACTTTCACTTATTTATTTTTTAACCACTAACGTGGGGGGAAACTACTAGTTGGTGTGTCCTCCTGGTCTCCCCTTTGTCCATTTCTGCTCCTCTCTTGCCCTCTTTTTGGAGAACCTTAAAGGCAGGCTCTGTTTGTAGGAACGGGGAGGGTTTGACGTGGGCATTTTGTGACGCAGGAAGCGAGCCGCGGAAGAGGGACCATCCACCAGCGGGGTGGCCAAGAAGGAGAAGAAAACCGGAGGCTTCGGAGACTTCAGCTCGTGGTAGCCCATGGAGGAGGACCAACTCCAAACCTTCCAGCTTGGAATGGAGAAGAGCCAGGTCTGTGCCCTCTGCCACTGTCCAAAAAATATGAGACTCTTGGCTGCAATCTTTCCCCTTAATATTGTTTCCCTGGCAGCCTTTTGTGGGCTTGGGAAGAGCTTTGGTCAAAGTTAAGGCTTTTCGCAGAGTGCCTGTAAGTCAGCGACAACCCAGAAAGATTCCTGCAGATTTCTTTCGGTGGGGCGTGGTTCCAAGTAGAAGAAAGGAGAAAGATCTTCCATTTCACAGCTGAGTGATTGAATTTGGGAGAAGACAGTTTGGGTGGGGGAAACCACAGTCCTTCCCAAGCTGTTCCCATTTTGAAGAGCTGCCCAGATGCTCTTGAACAACAAACTTTTATCTCTGCAACCTGTTGATTTCCCACCTAGACATTCCAAGCCAACATCCTTGTTTACAGGTGGTGATGGATACAGATCCTCAACTGTTGCTCGGTGAGAATTCTGCTTCAAAATACACACACACCCCCCCCAATATCCACCTAATGCCGCAACTCTGCTCCAGTTTCTCTTAGCTACTGAAGAGCTGTTGGCCCATCTTCTCTCTGATGTGTAGCCTAAAATACCTGAGGAAGCCTCTAGGAAAACTCCCTGTGGTTTTAGGCCTTATTGGCCTAACCCAGCTAGCCACTTGATCTTACCTACCTCTTTGGGGAATTTCAACTCCCTTCTTTTGGGAGACAGAAGGATTTCTGGACCCCAGAAGCAAACTGATCCAAAACCAAAGGGCGTAAGTGATCGATTACTTGCTAACAGTGATAAAAGTTAAGCAGACAGAACAGTAACCGGGAAGCGTTTGTGTGAAGAAAGGCAAAACAGCAACAAGGAAGGGTTGAAGGATCTTTGGAGTGGTGTGGTTACCAAGAGGTTGAGCTCTCGCTATTGGGAGGTTGTGAGTTCAATCTTAGGTAGAGCAGATATTTCTCTTTCTGGGCACACTGAGACCATATCTGCTGAACAAAAAACTCTGCATTGGTGACAGGAAGGGCATCGGGCCAGTAAACCGCTCTGCTAGCTCCATTCAGTTGCCCAAGCTCCGCTCCGCAAGGGATTATGGGATTGTTAAAAGAGGATGATGATGGGTTGAAGGATCTTTCCCAAAGATACAAAGGTGCTGCATTTTAGCCCCTTTTTCTTCATCACTGCCCTTTGATGGCAGTGCTTAGTTCCCCATCTCCACCAAAATGGAGTTGCTGTTGAGGACGTGTGCTTTTAGTTTGGCCCATTTCAGAAGTCCATTCCTGAAATTATCAGCACCGGCCATCCATCTTGAGCCTTCTGGGAAACCTACACATCTAGAGAGGTCAGTAAAATCTCTCAAGAGTTGTCGTTCAAATGTCAGAAAACATTGAGTTTGGGTCAAACTTCCTGATGCCTCTCACATCCAATTTCTAACAGTAGTTTCCAAGCTAAAAAACACACACACGAGGAGGTTGGGGTTTTTTTTCTTTTCTTTTTCTTTTTTTTTAAAAAAAATCCTTAATCGCCCACCACTTTTTCCTTCGGGGATGATCTCATTGACAAATGTTCTGCAGCAGAAGGAAGATGACAATTAACTCCATTCATGCTAAAAATGAGAATTGCCACTTGTCCTACCGAGCTAAAATAGGGAGTTGGCTTTGGGCACAATCAATCTGCTTGAGTCTTGTGCTACCTGGATAGAATATTCTAGCCATGTAGTCCGATCAGTCACTGGTTTTCTTTGCTAAAATTATTATTATTAATTTTGGGGGGGACTGTTCAGGGATTTGAGGAGAAAACAGTGCATATACACAAATTGAAAGAGTGGTCTTTTGAAAAATTAACCTGTTGCAATGTACTTTTGTACAAGTTTCCTGGGTCACAAAATTTGTAAGCGGGATGGATTCCGTGAAATATTTTTCATTAAAGTTTTACATTTTCATTTGTCTCCCGATTGTCAGTTTGGGGCTCAACCTCCCCATCCCCTAGAAGCCTGCTGACTTAGGATTTTCCCCCACCCCAATCATTTCATTGCCAGAAAAATGAAGTCACCCATATTTTTAAGAAGAGACTGGACAGTCACTTGTCTGAAATGATATAGGTTTTCCTGCTTCAGCAGGGGGCTGGACTAGAAGGCCTCCAAGGGTCCCTTCCAGTTCTATTCTATCCTATCCTATCCTATCCTATTCTCCTATTCTATTCTATTCTATTCTATTCTATTCTTCTTCTTCTTCTTCTTCTTCTTCTTCTTCTTCTTCTTCTTCTTCTTCTTCTTCTTCTTCTTCTTCTTCTTCTTCTTCTTCTTCTATTCTATTCTATTCTATTATAATATTCTATTCTTTCTTCTTATTCTTATTCTTCCATTCCATTCTATTATTCTTTTCTATTCTATTCTTTCTTATTCTTCCATTCCATTCCATTCCATTATTCTATTCTATTCTATTCTATTCTATTCTATTCTATTCTATTCTATTCTATTCTATTCTATTCTATTCTATTCTATTCTCTTTCTTATTCTTCCATTCCATTCTTCTGTTCTATTCTTTCTTATTCTTATTATTCTATTCTATTCTATTCTATTCTATTCTATTCTATTCTATTCTATTCTAATATTCTATACTTTATTCTTATTCTTCCATTCCATTATTCTATTCTACTATTCTATACTTTATTCTTATTCTTCCATTCCATTCCATTCCATTATTCTATTCTTTCTTATTCTTTCATTCTTCTATTCTATTCTATTCTTTCTTCTTATTCTTATTCTTCCATTCCATTCCATTATTCCATTTCATTCCAAGGTTTGTAATGGGCCTCGAGTCCTTTTGAAGAAAAGGTTGTAGTTTTGCCTGCGTATGAAAATAGAAAGGAGGAGGCAGGGCAAGTGGAAGAAAAATTACGAAGCTGAAAGGAGGCTGGTGAAACTTGCCAAGTTCAGAATGATCTAAAAGTATGAATATGTTGTAAAGAAGGAAAACAACCCAGTTTTCCGCAGACTGACTTTTAAGCCAACAAAAGAAGAGTGAAGTGAATCATTAGCAGAGAGCAATGCTGAGGAAAGCTTGCTGCATAAACTGTTTAGGGCAGTTTAAACCCCCAAAAGTAAGACCAACAGCACTACATGAATGCATCAGAGCACTGATGATGTTACCTAGGCAGGTCATGAAAGGTCTGCTAGAAAACAACCATGCTCAGAGGACCTCCACCTCCTCTTCCTCCCCATCTTCTCCTCCTCCCCCACTTCTCCTCCACTCTGCAGACCCCACACCCTTCTAGCACTGATGATGTTACCTAGGCAGGTCATAAAACGTCTGCTAGAAAACAACCAAGCTCAGAGAGCACCAAGGACTTCACAAACTTGTATTAAGTTAGTAGTGCCCTCAAGAAAAACCTATAATACCTTGGATGGAGTTGTTCCAATCCCTTATGGGCTCCATTGGAGGAAGAAGCCAACAAGAACCTGAAAAATTGTTCTGGGATTGAGTTATACTCTGAAGGCCCAGGAGAAGTGGCCATTAGTGGCTGTAACCATTTTCCATAAAGAGCATTTAACGAAAGCTTTTAATGTCTACAGCCAAGTGAGTCATTCCTATTAAGAAAGGTTATGCAGGCTGTATTATTTATGTTTTATTGGAAAGTTCTAATTTTATATAGAAGACTCCAATGCACGATTTCTAAAATAATTTCCTGATCAGAAGAAGACATTGTTCGGCACGGAACAACCAAGCAGAGCCAAATAAAAAATGGAAAGATATATTTTTTTTTTCCTGATCCAAGTGCCCTCGTACTCATTATTTCCCTATAACAAAACTATGTCTTTCTTGTAATTCTATTATCAGTTCCAGGTATTATGCTTTTCTTTTCTTTTTTACAATTAATGATCTGATCCAGGATAACAAAAGCCATTTCAGCTGAATTGAAAAATAAAAACAGCCTTTTCATCTAATAATCCCGCTCTGGAACAGAGTATCCAACCTTGGTGATTTTAAGACCTGTGGACTTCAGGCCCCAGTTTTCCCCAGCAAGTCTTGGCTTCTTCTACTTTGGAGAAATATTTTGGGGCTCCAATGGGTGGGGTACTCCACACCGGAGATGGTTAGTAAACCAGAAAGAAAATCCCTGCTTCGCCCTGTTGTATTTTGATTTTTAACTTATTTAATCTCTGTTTCTTTTCTCTACGTTTGTACTTCATGTACTTGCTGTTGCATTGTCGTAAGCTGCCCAGAGTTAGCTTGATGGTGAGCAGCATATAAATTTAATAAATACATTTTTGCCAGGGTACCAAACTGGACGTTTTCAACAATAAGACTGGACAATCATTTGACCGGGATGGTTATGTCTTCTGCCTTGAGCAGGGAGTTGGTCTAGAATGCCATCCAACCCTATGATTCTTTTGTTCCAGTTGAATGTTTTATATGCTTTAGGATCTATTCTCTGCAATTTTTTGAGCCGATGCCTTTCCTGCTTTCTTTAAAGACAAGAGGCAAATGTTTCAGACACGGGTTTTTGGTTTTGGGGAAAAGGAAGTCCTAAACAATGCTGGATAGAGCGGCCTTGAATGCTTACCTCCTTTCCTGCGGCAGTGATGGTCTCAACTGGAAGTGATGTCAAACCCCTTGGGAAGGAAGCCCTAAATTGAATTAAGAGCAAGGAGGAAAATGAATTGACGGGCACTTCAGTCTTCGTGGTTTCTCTTTTCCTTTGCAAACCCTTTTTTCTTTTAACATTTTGGCTAACCCGGTTCTGAATTAGCCAATCCCCACTTTAGCTCTGTATTTATCAACTGGCTAAGAAAACTTACCATCCGCGGGCAATTGTGGAATTTAAGCAAAGGATTGGTCCCCACTTTGTGTGACGACTCTCCTGAATGCTTCCCCAGATACCTCTTCTCCAGATGTCAGCTCGGAGGATAATGAACCGGTTCTGGGCACACCTGGAAAGGATTTGGTCAGTGGCTCCGAGCAGCTATCTGAGAGAGAATTGGCTCAACCACAGCTGCAGCAGGACAGCCCAGAGGCTTCAAGTGGGGAAAGGATGCAGCTACAGCCAGTCAACGAGGAGGAGGAACTGCCTTCTGCACTTGATCCAAAAACACATAGGGTAGAGGTCAGCCAGATTACTCGCGCGGAGGCAGCCTCGCCTCTCTTGATGGGCTGTACCAGAAACTGGCTTTTCAGCACATCAGACAGATGGAAGTGATGCTCGGAACGACGTGTTCATTTGCTAGCTGTGTGTTTTCTGGCTGTTGTGATTCTTGCCTCGCTTCAGATGGACCTCATGCCTCGAACTCAGATCATGTCTTGCAAACTCTGGACTTGCCTTGCCTCGTGAACCCTCTTGTATTGTGGATTTAATTTTGACTGATGGGTTTATCTCGATTTTGAAACTTTCAAGGGCCTCGCGGACTCTTTGGCCATTGTTCTGGAGACTAACGTCGGTCTGCTTGTAGCTGGACTTAAATCGGGACAGTTCTAGGTTTTGGATGAAGGGAGTTACTGGGGAGTATTAATAAACCCACTAAACCAGAGTTATGTGTGTGTGTGAGAGAGAGAGGGCATGACAGCACACCTTGATTCCTAGATTGTCCGTTGGGACTCAGTCCAAAGCAGCTCTCCTCATATGACAGAGGGAAGCTTCTGCAGTTCAGGGATCGCGCAAAGCTCTCCAACTATACAGAGGAAAGTTTAATTCAGGACATTCAGCGCAAAGATAAAGGATGGAAGGATGACTTGTACTCGCTTTTGCGATGTCTGTGAGCTGCCCGGAGTCGCTCGACAGTGAGCAGCGTATAAATTTATCAACAAATAAAATAAACTTTCCCCGGGCACCAACTGGAGGTTTCCCAAGTTATTGCACGGACGTATCGATTTAAATGGGGATGGCGCAGAGCTCTCCAAAAACACAAGAGGGGAAGTTCTACGAGGATTCAGCACAGAGATGACGGATGGAAGGACAACTCCGATAAGAGAGGGAGGCTGAACGTCAGAGGGAGACGATGCGGCTTAGGCTGCCTGCGTTGGTGAGCCGAAGCGAACAGCGCCAACCATTGTGTGGATTGTGCCCACAGCCGTTTCTCCTCATTCTTGGCCTCCGGCGTCTCATCGCCTCCAGATTAGAGCCGCAGCGGGAAGAAAGGGGATCTTTCTGCCAGATCAGCAAGGGTTTGTGACAATCGGCCTTTGTGTTGTTGCCACACACACTGGGCAGGCAGGCAGAAAACGAACAGGAGTAGGGTTTTGGTGTTTTTTTTCAAACAACCCAAACTATCCGTTTTTGCCACCCGGAGTTCTTGTCAGGGGGGGTGGGGAAACAGTCGGCATATACATTTAATAAACAAATAAAAAATTGAAATATTTTCTGAAATGCAAATAGGTGTCGACCTATAACTGTTTAGTGACTGAAGTCGCAAGCGCCCTGAAAAAAATGGACACAACACTTACGGCCATGACACGATCCCCACTGTGATGCAATTAGAATGACTCATATTTATGACGGTTGGAGAGTCCCGGGGGCTGTGTGATCCCTTTTGCGACCTTCTCACGAGCAAAGTCCATGGGGAAGCCACATTCACTGAACAACCGTGTTAATTAATAACTGCAAGGATTCACTTATCGACTGTGGCAAGAAAGGTCGTAAAATGAGGCAAAACCCACAATTATTTTGCTTAGCAATGGAAATTCTTGGCTCAGTTTTGGTTGTAAGACGAGGACTATCTATGGGAATAAAACCTTGATTCTGTATCCAACTGTCTCGCTTAGCAACACAAGTCCTGGGCTCGGTTACAGTCATAAGTCAAGGACTATCTCTTGGGGAGCAAGACTTTGAGGCCCGTCTCCGATCTGCTTTCTCACCAAACAAAAATGACGCATCAACCATTTGGGGAGGAAAATGCGGCCCGAGCAGGGAGGGAGGGAGGGGGAGGGAGAGAGAGAGAGAAAATAAAAAGTCACATTCAACAAAACAACGGAAAGTTTTTATTGTGATACTGTCAAAGAGATACAATAAAGTGAAACCACAAATTGTGTATAGTATTGCTGAGGCGAGAACCAGGAAGAAGCCACGTCAGCTGCAAAAAAATAAAGCATTTTCCCCCCCAAAATTGTTCCAGCAATGAGGCACACACCAACTGCCACCAAATGCATGTGTGTTTGACACTATGTGTGTTTTTGCTTTTCTGAAATCCTTTTTTTTAAAAAAAAAATACAACTCACACTAACTGGTTGGTTTTACACTCAGGAGAATGGCTATGGTGCTTAATGAACCATTCAGTTGAATAATCCCCCTTTTTTTTTGAACCTACTAAGGCAAGTTAAAAGTCTCATTATAGTTATTTTCCCAAGTCCGGGGAAGATTTCGCCTTATCGGGGAAACGAAAAACAAACCTCCCGTTCCAGATTAAGGGCCAAAAACCTTGTACTGGTTTTCACGCTGATCAACACTGTTCATGGCCGATACGGGTTACTGGTTTTTCCTCGCAAAACACGGAGGCAACTAGGAGGCGTAACTTTCCTGCAGATCCAAATGAATTTTAATCACGATATTTGCCATGCGGTTCTGTCACGTCAGTTCCCTAAAAGCGACCGTAGAATTTGGAGGTGTCCTTCGGAAAGATCCAGACACAAGCTAACAGATTCATGAAGCATCACAAGCAGGCCAGATATCCTCAGCCTCACCACTCTGGTGGGACAGCTAATGAACGCTGTCCACAAATCACCTGGAAAGTTGTGTGGTTGTTTCAAAGTCACTCATAACTGCCACCGAAAAGAAAATCTGCCTTTAGGGGATGTTTTCAATACCCACCTAGAAGGAATAGCTGAACCAGCAGTTCTAAAATTTCTGAAAATGTCCACCAAGAAATTATGATTTTTCTCCCAGGCATCGTAAGATCTAGGGATTCTGAACTGGCACTGAATCAGGTTTGGGTTGGATGGCTGTTTTACAAGAGCCATGACTAGGGACTCCCAAGAACAACAACGACAACAACAACAAAAAACCCCACATACACACACCACAAATGTAAATGTTGGCAGCCTGTTCCTCTAAGTGCCAATGAACAATCTTCTCAAGAACCAGCTTGTAGTCAGTTCACCCACTTCACAAAAAGCTCCCTTCTAGTAGGTAGGTAGATGTTCACAAAAATCGCTGTTACAATGTATAAAATATATAGTATATATATATATTTATATGTATATATATATATATGTATGTATATATATATATATAAAATAAATGTTAAGATCAACAGTAATAAAAATAAGCAACAAAAGTGCTCAAGTTGAAAGGGAAGATTAAAACTTACCCACAAAGCACACACAAACTCTTAAATAGAATACGTTACCAACAAAATAAAAAATAAACACAGTTTAAATGGGAAAATGCTTGGTAATGTTCAAGTATCTTTTTTTTTATTTTCAATGTAACGCTGGAAAGTTCAGTAACCAGACTGATCTTTTTAGACTTCAACCAATCATCCAGCAGTATCTGGATCCACCAAATCTGTCCGTTTGAATGATGCAGTTTGAAGGGGTTCTTAGAAGGCCCAAGTCAAAGAGACCGCCAATTCCCCAGGAATCGTAAAGCAGAAATGCTACTTCAGACCTACGCAATTTTGTTCTGGATTTAAAATTCCCTACAGCCTTTTTACGTCCCTTGTTTCAAAATTCGCAATATTGCTCTGTTTGGTACCTTGAAATGCTTATTTCCCCCCCACCCCCCAAATAAATAAATAAATAAATTGCATCTGATTTTTAAGCTGCAATTTGATCGTCCACTTTCCCTTCTTTTTGGCATCTGGGTGAAACCAAAAAAAAAATTCTTGGGAAAACATCCACCTGCAAAGACCCAAAAGGCCCACCGGACTACATATTACACACAAATAGGCATGGTGTCCCCGTTTTCGTTACGAGAAGCTACTCCTTGGTAGACAGCTACTTAGTGTAAAATCCACGTCGAGTGGATTTCTACCACGCCGTGTGAATTTTCAGCTTTGTGTGTAAACATGTAGTTCGGCCCAAGCGTTCTCTGATTAAAATACATTCTTTCGTAAGATTTTCCCCTCCACCTTTCTTTTTCCCTTCAAGCTTCCCATCTTCTCAAAATCCCCACAAAGTGATCTTTTCAGATGATTTGAGAAATGCGTCAAGGCGAGAGCAACCACGCTAGTAAAGCAAGCGTTCACGGTAGAAGGGAAAAAGCGATGGCCACCACTGTAGGCCAACAGCGCTGAAAACCTAGCCACTTAAAAAATCCAGGACTTTTGTCGACAGCGGCGGACACCGATCCCACAGGGAAGGGGTGGTAGGTCCAGTTCTCCCATCGCTGCCATAACGCAACAGAGGAGATCCATCAGAACCAGACCTTTCAAGGATTTGTAGAGAGGAGTACAAGAAGCTAATTTTGTTTGAATAACCACCGGTTCTTAAAAGGCTGCGAGTCAGAAAACTCGCAGGAGGGTTTATGGATGCTGTAACGGTTCCTACGTTGAGGGCTCTCCATCCAGTTGCCCTAAATTGAATTATTCCACACCTCAAGGAACTCCTAACAAGCACACAACTAACAAGCATGCATCCCTAACAAGCCAGCCTCTCTTCGTCTTCTAGTAAAACTCTCCGAGGGCTGAAACTGCTGCTGTTCTGGATGTGAATCAAGAGGAGTTCTCAGTTCTGCCGCGGGCTGAAGATTCACTGGGTTTCAAAAGTCATTCACACTAAATAAAGCACCAGAATTAAAGGTCATACAAAATCTGAGACTAGCTGTCAGGGAGGGGACAGCTCTTTGGATCCAAATGCCTGAAAGGTAACTATATACACATAACACACGCGCTTAAATAGATTTAAGATATATATTCAATATCCTTTTTTCTTTTTTTTTTTTGCATCACAGTGTAAAATCGTTCTTCTACCCAAAAGGATTTACGGAGGAATGAAATAAGGAGGGGAGTTTGGCGTACAGGAGGGAAAGCATTCGACGTTCAGGAGAAGACGGTTGCTATTTTTATAAGGAAGGATAAAGCTAAAGTGCAATTCGAGATCTGAATGTCAGTTAGATGAGCTTACTAGCAGCCATTAGGGACAGACAAAAAGCTGGAGTTGCAATGCAACAGGTAAGAAGTACGTTAGCGTTCCCATTGTAAAGCTTCCTATATTGTTATTATTATAGTTATTGTTACTCATGCTGTCAGTGGCTCGGTATGATTCGGGTAAAATGTTCTATACATTTCCCACCCCCCCCCTCTTGGAATTATTTTGGAAGGAAAAAGAAAATTGCAACCCCCCTCCCCTCCCAAAAAATACAGCTCCCCTCCCCCCAAGTTTTCACATCTCTTGAAATGGTATGCATAAAAAGTTCCCATGGAGAAATGCTACGCACTTTTACACACGTATATAGTGGTCCTCTCTGACCCGACCCACTGACTATGGAGTGGGGTGGAGTTGTTTTGTTTTTTAAAAAAATTCCCAGATGATGTTTCTTTTACATTAACAGTTTTATTATAAAAAAATTGTGCTTAGGGACGATTCAGCCAGCAAATCACACACACTCACACCCCCTTTGAAAAAAACAAAAACTACCTTCATGCTTTCTTTCTTTCGTTCCTTTTTTTAAAACGCCAAGTTGTCACTTTTTATTCGCTTGCGAAACTTTTTTTTTTTAACCACCTGCTCCAGAGGGATCGGTGACAGCTTTTTCGTACGCACTCATGCAACACAACTCGCACACAGCTGCACACTTTTGGTGTGTGCTTCAGTATTGCCAAAGCCAGGGACTTGGATGATTGTGAAACTACCCTCCTCGCATCCAGTGCATTAAAACTAGGTAAAACTACATGGAACCAGCCATAAAAGAAATCCTTTTTTCCCATTCCCAAGGTACAGTACCAAAAACATTTGAAACCGACGTATTAAAAATAAGAGCTGCGTATTTTTCCAGCCCTTTGATCTTAAAAGACCCTGCTGTACATTCTTCGTTTTTTTTTTTTTTTTCCTTTTTAACAGGGGCAAAAAGCTTTTCAGCTTCTCTTCCTAATGTATCTGATTTGGATCTACAGTTTGAAGCTAGCCTTGTAAATTATTACTCAATCTCTTTTCTGACAGTTTCTCTTTTAAAAAACAAAAACACAACCAAACAGACAAGCAAATCCTGGCTAGATTCAGTCACACCGGCTAACCAAATCTCTCAGCAAAACCTAGCCAAAATAATATCTAAAACGGACCGCGGTATGCTTTAAAAACAAAAAACAAAAGAATAAATGAGTAGTAGAATACTGCAATCCTTCTCACTGCAAAGAGACTACAGAAATGGCTAATTTAGAGGAGGGGCCTAAAATAAAAGATGTCCTCCATCCTCTACATTCTCGGGACCGTCCACACAGGGCCGCCTTTCGAACCCTGGAGCGGACAATCGGCAATCAAACCACGCACGGCACAAAAGGAGCAACCGAAGGCGCCGGTCAAAAGGAGAGAGAGAGCTACCTTAGCACAGGTGACCCCGGAGGTCTGGAATTCCCCCTCTTGGAGCGCATAGAAAAAGGTTCGTCCAAAAATAACGGGTTTGCACAGATTAAAAAAAAGGGGGGGGGATTTGCACAGAGAGGAGGGGAAGAGGGAGGGAAGAACGCACACACACACGCACACACACACAAAAACCCCAGGGAAGGGATGTTCTGGAGAGAAGGGAAGGACCACAACATCACATCACTGGGCGGGTGAGATTTTTCTCAACCGCCCAGCCACCGTTTTGTTTTTTCTTCTTTTTTTCCCCCCCTCATGGAGTAAGTCTTTTCTTTGTTTTATATATATATATAAAATATAAGCCAACTGTTTCCCTAGATGGGTTGTCCAAAGACAAGGAGTCCTATTGCAAGTTCATTCCCAGCCGTTGTCCTTGATCATGTGAGCGAGTTCGATGATGTATTTCCCTTCTTTGTATTTCTGGCTGCTCTCAAACGCGTGTTCCTGTAAGGGAAGAAAGTGCAGCTCAGCTCTCAGGGCAGGGTGGTTCATCCGCCTGCAGCTAGTCCTCGACTTCACAACGGTTCCTTTAGTGGCCGAAGTTGCAACGGCACTGACTTAGGACCGTTTTTCACACCGATGGCCGCATGATTGACGTTCGTAATTCTCAACAACTGACTCACCTTTATGACGGTTGGAAGGGCCCATTTTGCAACCTTCTGACAAGCCAAGTCAACGGGGAAGCCAGATTCCCTTAAACGACTGTTTTACTAATTTAACAACCGTGGCAGGGAAGGTTGTAAAAGGGGGCAAAATTCACTGAGCAACTGTCTCGCTTAGCAACAGTAATTTTGGGGTCGTAAGTGGAGGACTACCTGTACTCTCTGCCCTTCGAAACCTGGAGTTGACCTACTTGACTAAAGGCCGTATTCCAGCATTGGAGGGGCTGCCACAAAGAGAAGGGAGTCAACTTATTTTCCAAAGCCCCAGAAGGCAGGACGAGAAACGATGGATGGGAACTAATCAAGCAGAGAAGCAACCAGGAATTAAGGAGAAACTTCCTAACAGTGAGGACAATTAACCAGTGGAACAGCTGGCCACCAGAAGTTGTGGGTGCGCCAATTGTCTGAAATTGTATAGGGTAGGGCTCTTCAAACTTGACAGCTTTAAGACTTGTGGACTTCCAACTCCCAGAATTCCTCCTCCAGTCATGTTAGCTCAGGGATTCTGGGAGTTGAAGTCCACAAGTCTTCAACTTGCCAAATTGGAAGACCCTTGGTATAGGGTCTCCTACTTGAGCAGGGGGTTGGACTAGAAGACCTCCAAGGTCCCTTCTGGCTCTCTTCTGATTGAAAACGGAAACTATCTAGTGCAACTGGTACTGAAGTGTGGACTGCCTGCTTCAGTCCTTCTCCAACTGCCAGCTCAACCAACTGACCCAAAACTTAAAAAGGACTAGCAGGGATCGTGGGCTCCCTCTTTCGCCTCAAGCCAACATCAACCAAGATAACTGAGGCCACGCCCAGCGCAAAGGCTTACGTATTTCCATCCGAGGGTGGTTTTGCAGTTTTCACAATAAATATCTGCTACAGCGTGCAAGCCCGTCAGAAGAACTCGCTCTTCCGCAGGTCCACAGCCCACGTTCACCCTGCAAGAGACGACGGGAGAAACGGAGGTGGTTTCATCGATCGTATGATGCCCGTCCACGCAGAAGTAGAAAAATAACACCGATGGCCAAGTTTGCCAAGTTTGAAGACCCTTGGTATAGGGTCTCCTACTTGAGCAGGGGGTTAGACTAGAAGACCTCCAAGGTCCCTTCCAGCTCTATTCTGATTGAAAATTAAATTGAAATTGCTTCTTGGCATGAAATAAGTAAAAAAGAGCTTAAATGTGACTCTTGCGTCATTCCAAGGGACCTGGGCAAGAATATCCATCTTCTCTGTCATTCCTTAGCATTATCCTAACAGTGTGATGTTGCTGACTGGAAGTTGTAATTCAACCTTCCTTTCATTTTCTTTTGCATTTCTTCTTTTTCTTCCTTTGCTTTCTTTTTCTTCCTCCCTCTCTCCTCTCTTCCTTCCCTTCCTTCATTTCTTTCTTCCTTTTTCTCATTCTTTCTTCTTCCCTCTTTTTCCTTTCCTCTCTTTTTCTCTTTTTCCTTTGTTTCTTTCTCTTTCTCCTTCCCTCCCTCCCTTTTCTTTCTTTCCTTTCTTTCTCTCTCTCTCTCCCTCTCTCTAACTCAACCCACCCCGCAACCAAGCCAGCAATACCAAAAACATTTCTCAGTGCCATTCTCAAAAGCAGAAAGGACTTACACAGAATTAAAGAGGTAGGCTCGTCCCTGGCTCCCCTGAAAAGACTGTAAGAAAGAGAGAAGGGGAAATTAATCTTACTTTAAAACAAACAAAAACCAAAAAATCCTGCTGTAAGATCATGTCACAATATTCCCTCCCTGCTTCAGTGGTAACTTTGAAAGGGGCATCACCTAGAACCCAGAGTAACCGAGAGTTAGGCTGCATCATCTAACAGACACCGACACTACGGCTCGTGGCACAAGTTCAGGGGCAGAAATGTTACAGATCTTCGGGGTACATAGAAAGAATAAAATAGAGGTGCAATTTTAAAATAAACGCGGAAGAGAAGGGGAACCAACTTTCCTGTATTTGTTACTGTATCCCCTTCATAAACACAAAGTGACTAAAAGATGCAGGTGGATTCCTGATATTTTTCACGCAAAGGTTTCAGATTCCTTCCTTGAGCTCAGCTACTTGGGAAATGAGTGGCAGAGGATCCAATTCCTGCGCCAGTTATCAATTGTATTATAGTCTAGAAACCGATGATAAGGCTTTCATCTACTAGACGTTCTTATCAAGGCACATTTCTAGAGTCTTTGAAAATGTATTTCAGGTAGTCCTCGACTTCCAACGGTTTCATTTAGTGACCGTTCAAAATTACAAGGGCACTGAAAAAAAACGTGACTTTAGGACCATTTTTCACACTGAACAATTGTTGCGGCCTCCCTAGGATCACAATTTGGATGCTTGGCAATTGGTTCACGCTTACGACGGTCGCAGTATCCTGGGGCTTCTCCTTTTGCAACAAGCAAAAGAGGGAAGCCAGGTTCACTTAATAACCATGTCATTAACTCAACAGCAGCATAAATTCCCTTAACAAGAAAGTGGACAAAACCCACTTAACAAATGTCTCGTTTGGCAATATATATTTTGGGCTCAATTGTGGTCATAAGTCAAGGAATACCTGAACTTGGAAGCATTTTGAGCTCTTTGCTGTGATGACTAATAGGCTAAAGGGAAAACAGACCTCAGGGTGTGTGGGTGAGTGTGTGTGTTTGTGGGTGTGTACACAAACACACTCATGCACAGAGCAGCAGAGTTTATTTAGATTTTATTCTCATACTATCAGGAAGTCTCTTGAAAGCAGATAATACATTATGTATAGCTTAGAAGCAGTTTTAAAATGTCCAGAACGTTGCTAGTTGTCTTAGAGTTGACATACACCGGATAAAATAAATGGGATTTTAGCCAGAAGCAAGATTAGGTTTATGTCAAGCAGTATGTACTTATGTTATTATGTGGTGTACGAGGAAGATGAATCGGACTAGTGAGACAAAGATGAAGCGTGCAACTAGGGATATTTTTTTCAGAAATGGTATATGATGTCTAGAAGTCTGTAGAGAAGCTATATAATTTGGGATGAACACCCTTGGAATGGCGTGAGAGCTGGAATGATTTCCAGGGAAAAATTGCAGACTACAGGAACCAGGAGCACCACTCAGGTGACTCCGAGGACACAGATAAACCTCCAAGTGGCCTCAACGACCCTCTAAAAGGATGCAAATGACCAGCTGTCTGCACGGAGTATAAATCCTTCCCTTCCCCGCCATCCAGTCAGAACTGAAGAAGCTCCTTGGATGAGAAGCGAAACGTCTTCAAAAGAAAAAACAAGGAAGCCCAGTTGCCTCTTGAAGAAAATAAAGCACCTTTGGGACATGCGGTCTAGAAGTTTCAGGTGCTAAGTTGTAAAATTTGCTTTTCAGAGCATTTCATGATTTTTCTTCTTTAGATATACTAATATTCTATGCATTGTCATGAGAAAAGTTTCATTTTTTAAAAAAAAATAGCACCAGTTCATGTAGCAGTTGTGACCAAGGTCTTTTTTTCCAGTCAGAAACTCAAAGGAGTAAAGAGTTTTTAACGGCGCTAAAAGAAAAAAAATATAGAAACTTCAACTTATGGCCACAAAAATCACCTGATTTTTAGGCTCACAAAATGGCCCTCAAATTTCTGCTGCTAAGCGAGGCAGTTTGTTAAGTAAATTTTGCCGTTTTACCATCTTTCTTGCCATGCGCCCATTTCTCTCCAGTTACCACCTTTGCAGCATCACCACAGTCACGTGATCAACCTTCACAATTCAGCCGGCTTGTGCAACCGGCTCATATTTACGACGGTTGCGGTGTCCCCCAGGGACAAGTGATCCCCTTTTGCGACCTGACAAGTGAAGCCAAAGGGGAAAGCCACTTAACCAACCGTGCTGCAGCTGCAGGGACTCACTTAACAACGGGGGCAAGGAAGATCGTAAAATGGGGTGAACCTCACTCAACAGATGACGTGTCTCTCTTAGCCACAGAAATCTGGGGCCCCATTGAGGTTGTCAGTCGACTACCTGAAATGTACACCAGATCAGCTAGGATACAAGTAGAACGTGTAAGTATTCCAACAGTGTAGATCAGGGGTCCCCAAACTTGGCCACTTTTAAGACTTGTGGACTTCCAACTCCCAGAATTCTCCAGCCAGCATCACTTACTCTCTTGTAATCCTTTCCTCTGCAATCTCTCTCCCCTTTAGGAGATTAAGAGAGAGAGAAAAAAGCAGGCTGGGGAATTCTGGGAGTTGAAGTCCACCAGTCTTAAAAAGTGGCCAAGTTTGGGGACCCCAATGTAGATGCTAAACAAACCACAAGATGGAAAACATTCTAGAGGTTTGGTAAACTCTTTAAAGCGGAAACATTTTCTATACTCTGACAACTGTTTCAACGCCCAGGAGACACAATCTTTGAGGGCAGTTGTAACAACCACTTTGTTTAAAATGCTGGGCTCTGCTTTTGTCACAGTTTTTATTTTTTTTTGCATGGAAACAAATAATAATAATAAAAAAAAACCAAGCAGTGGGAAACCAAGCAGATGTGATTGTTGTCAATTTGGTATGACGAGCTTTACAGTCATAGTATGAACCATCCCCCAAAAATGCAGGTTCTCCACTTACCACCAAAATTTCTGTGGCGGCGGGAAACATTTTTTTAATTGAGTTTTGCCCCCATTTTTACAGCCTTTCTAGCCATGGTTGTGGAGTGAATCTCTGCTATTGTTAACTTAAGTCACATGGTTGTTAAGTTGACCTGTTGACTTTTGCTTGTCCGAAGGTCGCAAAAGGGGATCACGTGACCTCAGGGACACTGCAACCGTCGTAAGTACATGCCAATTGCCAAGCGTCTGAATTTTGGTCAGGTGATCACAGGTGTGACAAACAGTCGTAAGTCACTTTTTTCAAACTCGCAACTTCGAATGGTTGTAAGTCAAGGACTACTTGCACGGAATGAATTCCTTAGTTCCTACATGGACATCAACGGTAGTGTCAACTCATAAAACATTTCTATGCCTGTTTTAGCAGTTGCCATAAAAAAAAGGAGGGGGGGAAGGAAGGAAATCTGGAAGAGCAGTTTGAAAACGAAAGAATATTCCAACTCTTGTCTTTAAAAGATTGTAACTAAACTACCAGAGCTTTTGCCTGCAAATATATTTAATTGGAGAAGGTGAATGAAGACGCCCAGCCTGTGAACAGGCTTAATTGGAGAATCTGATTTATGATACCCACCCAGGGGGGTGAGGGGGAAACAGGTGACGGTAAATGACATATGTCAGAGTTGGCTTCATACAGGGCAGTGCCAGTATGTCGCCTCTGATAAATCCTTTGAAGTTTTTTGAAGTTTGACTCAAGAATCATGATTTAATGAGGGTGATTGCTGGAATCCTGAGAGGTAGCTATGTCAATGCTAAGAAGGGAAATCTGGGCCTTACAAGGTGACTTCTCGTCTTACGGTCCAACATCTCTCTCTAATACATGCAGCAGGAGGAGGTTCCAGATACACCAAGGAGAAAGAAATACACTTGGAGGGAGTTAAAATAAGCTCAAGCAGCCAAAGGATTATACAGAATTTTGGAGACGGGCTGCTAAGAATCTGTTCACAATATAGAGTTCTCCAGGGGTTTCAATTTTCAGTCTTTTCAAGTATGGATTAGGGGAAAAAGAATAAGGAGGGTTTTTTTTTTTAAAAAAAGTGTCATTTGGAAGCAGAGTTTGTGGCTTCTGATATGCTTTCACTAAACAACTTAGGGTAAAACACAAAACAAAGTCCAACTGCCTCTTGAAAAAGCATCTTTGGGACAACTATGACCTGGATGATTGGGTGTCTCCATAGACGTTTTTTATTTTGGGGGGGGGGGGGAATGTCCTAGTAGTAGAATACATACAGATTACTCCTTGGCTACGTTTTATATGAGGGATTACATTTCTAACTAAGCATGGAAAAAAACAAACTAAACCATCCACCTTTAAACACTCTGTTGTTTAATGCATAATCTTCTTGGATGAAGCGGATACAAAACACACACACACACACACACACACACACACACGGCTGATTCTACTTGTGTTTCTCAAAGTTGGAAACTTTATGATGTATGGACTTCAGACCCCAGAATTCCCTACCCAGCATGCTCTGGGATGGACTTCAGATCCCAGAATTCCCCAGCCAACCAGCTTTAAGAGGGCTAGATTTCCAACTCCCAGAATTCCCTATCCAGCATGTTTTAAGAGAAGCGGACTCCATCTTCCAGAATTCCCCAGCTTTAAGGTGTGTGGACTCCAACTCCCAGAATGCCAGCTGAGGAATTCTGGGAATTAAAGTCCACACATCTTAAAAGTTGCCAAGTTTGAAAAACACCACTCCGTACCTATTCGCGTTATGCATTTTAAATTCACCGAATTCTCAGCAGAGGATTCCAAAATGTAAGCGCCGGTCCTAACTTCCTGTTCTGGCTTAAGGGCCTTCAAACAGTAAGGGCATCACATACGAAATATGCATGAGGTCTAGCCACTTGCCTTGGAAATGAGCTCGTCGTGATTGGCCAGGTGGGCTCTGCAGTGGATACAACTGTAGGTTCGGTGACAATTTGGCAGGTACGCCTGGAACGTTTTGGATTTTGTCATTTTGACCATTTCTGTCGCTGGCTCCTCAGTCTGATCAGGGCTGGCACTTGGGAAACAATTTTGCTGAACTTGTTGACAAAAGAAACACTGGAAAATGCAGGCAAAAGCCGTCGTTGTTGTGGAGGTTGTGTGGCCCTTTCCACACAGACGCTACTGGAGAAACTGTTAAAATCCTGCAAGGGAAGGAAAACGGGTGTCAGGCAGTCAGTCCTCCACCATCCTGTCGCGTGCCTAGCCACCACGCCTTGCTTAATAAAGGAAAGGGTCTCGGCTGTGTATTTCATGCAGTCACTAGATCCTACCCCAAAAAGGATCTAAACAGATCTCTACACACCTTCCTTCAGGCCATCGGGAACCCAGTGCAGTAGAAGGCAGGATGCAAACACGCACAAAACATGAAACTGGAGGCGAGGGCCATGAATGAGCTGAGTAGAACGCTATTCAACGCTCCCTTATGCCTGGGCCTGAGGATGTCCAACCTTGGCATCTTTAAGACCTGTGGACTTCAACTCCCAGAATCCCCCACCCAGCCCTGGAGAGTTTCTGGGAGTTGATGCCCACAGGTCTTTAAAAGTTCGACATCCCTGGGCTTGCCCATATGTTGCAATAGCCAAGCGGAATAATCATGAAACTCTCCGGCTCGCTTGCAAAACGTACTTTTTTCCCAGTGAAGTAGCACGGTTTTTTTCTTTCTTTTTGACTGACATGGTCTTTGACAGAGGAGGCCAAGGGGAGGAGCACCTGTTAGAAATGGAAGGATGGAGCCCATGATACCATTTTGCAGGTTTAGTTTAGTTTATTGTCATTGCACCTCGTACAACGAAATCAAACACCATCTTCCGTGTACATTATGACTATGAAAATAAACACAAACACACATCCTTCACATTCTATACATTGAATTGAAAAGCCCTGACGTTATATTAATATTGCACTATACAGCAGAATTCAATAGAATTATTGCCCTGGGATAGAAGCTGTTTTTCAGCCTATTTGTCCTTGTTTTTATTATTCTGTACCGTCTGCCAGATGGTAATAGTTCAAATAAAAAGGATTCCCAGGATGAGATGGATCTTTGAGGATGTTTTGAACTTTCTTAAGGCAGCGGGAGCTATAAAGCTCTTCCAAAGAGGGGAGAGGACAACCAGTGATCCCCTGGGCAATGACATTCACCCTCTGGAGAGCTTTCCTATCTGCCCCGGTGCAATTGGCAAACCAGACACAGGTGCAGTAAGTTAAGATACTCTCTCTGGTGCAGCGGTAGAAGGACACCAGCAGGTGGTTCACAGCGTATGGCCATTTTTTTGGATGGTCATGGTTCCTCACTTTGAATGGTCATTTTTCTAATGGCCATTCAAAGTGATGCAAAAAGCGACTTACCGACACTTCTCACCCTTAAAACGGTTGCGGCGTCCCTGCAGTCACATGATCAGAATTCGGGCGCTGGGCAACCAGCATGGATTTACAAGGGTTGCAAACATCCTGGGGTCACATGATCGCCATCTGCCACCTTCATGGCTTTCGTCAAGCAAAATTCACGGGGGATGTTAGATTCGCTTAATGACTAAGAGGTGAAATCAGGGGTGAGCCGCTTCATGACTGCATTGTTTAGCGACAGGAGTTCTGCCCCCCAGTTGTGGTTGGGAATTGAGGATTACCTCTTCTGTGAGATCCCTTGGTGCTCTCTGAGCTTGGGGTTTGTTTGTTTTTTTGCACATATTTCATTACCAAATGAAGTAATGTAACACAGAAGAACAGAGTTGGAAGGGACCTTAGAGGTCTTCTAGCCCAACCCTCCACTCAAGCAGAAGGTCTTGTACTATGTCAGACAAGTGGCCATCCAATCCCTTTCTTAAAGACTTCCAGTGTTGGAGCAGCCACAACTTCTGGAGGCGTTTCACTGATTAATTACTTTCACTGTTAGGAAATTTCTCCTTAGTTCTAGGTTGCTTCACTCCTTGATTGGTTTCTATCCATTGTTTCTTGTCCTGCCTTCTGGTGCTTTGGAAAATAGGTGATTTGGAAAATTATTAAGTGCTCTTTCTGCAAGAAAACAACCAAGCTCAAAAAAGCACCAATGTCCCCAGTCGTTGTCCTCCTCTTCCCCCCCCCCCCCCCCACTAGGCACTGATGATCTTACTTAGTTGGGTCATGAAACGTCTGCAAGAAAACAACCAAGTTTTAGAGAGCATCAAAGACCCCACAGTCCTCCTCCACCTCCTCAAACCCCACTCCCTTCCAGCACTGATGACGTGACTTAGCTGGGTCATGAAACATCTACAGGAAAACAACCAAGCCCAAAGAGCACCAAGGACCCCACAGTTCAGCCATGAGCTACCAATATTTCCTGCTATCATATGTGATTTGGGCTCAGCTCTGTTGAAAGAGAAGGTGTCTTTTGACATCACAAAGTTTATCCAAGTGCTGACCTTTGTGAGCAACCTCCCTTTATACGATTCTTCTTCGCCTTGAATTTCTAGTATAAGTAAGACGTAAATTCTGAGATTTGACACTACCAGTGATGTGACTGGGAGGAGGAAAAAAAAAAAAAAGACAGCTGGCGTTTTGTTATGGTGCATTCAGCCAGGGTGGTGGGAGGGAAGAGGAGGCCTTGAGAAATGGTGATGGGCTTGTCTATTCTCCAGCTCTCCGGCACAATTACCAGGAGGCCTCCCAGAGAAAGAGTTATCAAGATCCCTGCCACTTCTCCATCCATTCTGGAAACGTATCTGAGAAACCCATCTGCCACACACAAAAAATAAAGGATTAAGCCAGCAGGAAAATGGCAGCACAGGAGCAGTGATGGAGTGACAAGAGATTAAAAGCCCATCTGCGTTATCTCGCTTCAGAAGAAGGCCAAGTCCAAAGGTATGCAGGCTTTCTTGGATCCTTCCCTGCTTTCGCGCAAAATGAGATACCTGCCCCAAATTGACTCGGATGGCCAGAAAATGTGTAATAATGGGAAGATTGGAGGGGTCTCTAGGCCAAGACCAGGGAGGAAGTGCCACAAGGAAGAGTTGTGACTCAGGTGAGCTTTGAAGTTGTGGTGCGGTGCGTTCATTGACAAGTCCCGCTGTGTCTTAGTGGCAGAATTGAAGGGTGGTGAACAACTCCGTGCTGTAAAGCAAAAAGAGGCCATCATTTAGGACGGACTCAAAAGCTGGAGGGGACAGCTTGATTCTGCAACGTCCAGAAATACAGGAGAGAATATTTGCACCTCAGGTTTGAACTGTGGGGTCCTTGCTGCTCTCTGAGCTTGGCTGGTTTCTTCTGCTAGCACCGATGATGTTACCCAGTTGGGTCATGAAACGTCAGCAAGAAAGCAACCACATTCACAGAACAGCAAGGATTCGGTGCTCAGAAATCCTACTGGGATGAATCAAGTCTTATTAAATGTAAACATAAGAATTAACTGGAGATATATAGAAAAAGAAAGCATCATGCAATTGTGTTTCAGGACTGGATTATGGCATACAGCAAGGCTGGGTGTTGGTCAACTAAGAACATTCTTTTAAGATATGGGGCCCTGGGAAGGTTTGCAAAGCAGGAAGGCGTTTGCATGTACCTGCAATTCCTAAGTTTTCCATACCACAATTTCACAATTTGTTTAGTTCAGCTACAAGACCAAACCCAATGAATTCAGCTCCAGTAAAACCACGTAAGCCAGGCATACTCATATCAATGGCAGGTTGCTTCTAACTGCCTGACCAATGCAAATTTTCTTGAACAAAAGAGCCATCCAACAAAGCACAAGTGTGACAACAAAGCAAGGAACACGACCTAAACATTTGCAAAAGAAAAAAGAAAAGAAAGCCATCGCCAGTTAGCACTGCTTCGAAAGCGAGAGAAAATTCAAGTGACTGGCTTGACTTTCTAGAAAACCTATTTTAAGCCAACCCAAGTCACTAGAATCAGTTCAGAGATCAAAAGCTATTTAAAAAAAAAATACTTGGGAGGTGGCACTGATTGAATTTACATCAGGCGTCCCAAAGAACTCTGCCATTCAGGCCCCATGTGCAATTCTGCCAGCTGGCATGACATCATTTAAAGAAAACAAGAACTCTTGGTAGCCAAGCAGCAGCCAATCTTACAACACAGAGGGCTGTCTTGCCTCTGCACCCGGATGTATAAACAAATATTTAAGCATGTTACCTGCCACAAAAGCCAGATTGCCAAAATAAATCCAGCCACCCTACCCCAGCCGAGGATTGGACAGTCCTGCAAGCAACAGGCCACTCGAATTGCCCTTACTGCACACGTACCACTCCGTCATCAATATGCATTTCACAACCGTTTAGTATTAAAGCCCCTTTTCTTTCTTTCATTGATAAAATATGCTAAGCGCAACTGGCAAGCTACCGCGGCCGCTCCAGGTGAAAATAAGAGCTATTACAATCGGGTCGGTGATCCCTTGTATGTTGGGGATTAATCAGCGGGAACTTAATATTTCATCTTTGTTAAAAGGCGCTCCGAGTTATTAAAATCAGACGTAGAAAGGATCGTTCATTGGAAGCCAAGTCATTTCCTTCTTTTATTCGTCATGACGAAGTGGCCTCCAAGGCTCCAAATGGAACCAACTAGCATTCAGGGTACACATTGCACATATCCACGCTCGTTTCAGAGCCTGTCAAGGCAATTACAGGGCACTTCGTTCAAAACAAGCCCAAGCATTTCCCCGTGCAAACACATCCCCCTGCCTCAAGAGAAGAACTGAACAATGGATCTCACCCGGGCTGCAACCCAAACAGAGCCAAGATCCTGGAACGTCAGGAGTTTCCAAAGCTATCCCGCATCGCCGGGGACTCCAAGCCAAAAGTCAGCTTGCCCCCTTTGATTATTTTAACCCAAGCATCTCCTCCTTCCTGATCTTGGTGGGCAGCAGGAAACTGGGAGCCTGCAGGAGAGTTTGGCTTCTTTTTCGTAGCTGCCGCCCCGTTTTAGCAAGAGGCAGCTTGCTAAAAATAGACAAGACACCTCCAGCCTGGTTTAGACACCACAGCACCTGGGGAGGGAGGCGAACGTGCGGCAACTGAGTCCCAGACAGTGTTCAGACCTTCCTGTAGCCAGCCAGCACCTGCTGGATCCAAGTGGAAAAAAAATAAAAATAAAATAACGATGATGGTAATAACAACAGCACAAGCAACCAAGATGCTGTTCTTTCTACAGTGTTGACAAACAGCTACCACAGGGCTGATCTCACTGGCAGGAAGCTGCTTGGCACAGCTTGGAAGGGGCTTCGTGTTTTTTCTGATATAAAGTGAAGAAGCAGAGCTGGGGGGGGGGGGGGGGGGGGGGGGGGGGGAGGGGGTGGGGGGGGGAGTGAAGAGGCTGCTTTTGCAACCACATTATGTAAAGCGTGTCCCCTCTGTTCATATCCCAGCCGGCGTGCACAACTGCATGGAGGAAAAACAAAGCAAAACAAAGGGGGCTTCCGTTGCCAAAAGCTTGAAAGCCGTCCAAAAACAAACCCGACCCTCAGATTAAAACCATGCAAAGTGGCAAGGAGTCGAAAAGCCCAGCAACAGACGCAAAACGCAGACCGAGAGCTCTCTCGGCTGCCCCCGAGTGACAGTTCCTGCCCCCCCCTTACCTCTGGGGCTTCCTCGCTTTGACTGGGGGGGGGGCACAGCCGCCGTCTAGAAGCCTCCGACCCGATTAGCAAGTGGACAAGGGCCGGCACGTAGAAAGAGCCCCCTCCCCATCCGTCTGTCCGTGCCTTACCGTGATCGTCATAGGAACATGCACAGATCCGAGTAGTAGACCAACATTATCACTCAGACTGCCCCCAACTGCAAACTCACAAAGACAACGGGGCAGAGACAGGAGCAGACAAAAAGGGATGGCTCTACTGCTCCAGGCCACCCGCTCAACCCTCCCACACCTGTATCTCCCTGGAAAGCAGCTGGGGGAGGGGGTGTTTAAGCCCCCCTCCCCTTTTTCTGCAGGGGTACAAGAGTTCAGAGCCTCATCTGAGAAACTGGAAAGGAGACCGGATTGGGACTAGCTCTCATCTGCATCCTAAAATCCCCAGGACTGAGTTTAAAAATGTGCAACTCCGCTTGCTTTCAGAACAAGGACTGGGTTTAAAAACAAAAACTGCAACTCCATTGATTGGAATCTTTTTCTTCCCAATAAACCCATTAAGATTAAGGGAACAGTGTGTCTCCCCACAAAAAAAAAAACAGAAAAAGGATCCTCACCAATGAAACTCCCATTTAGAGGTGAATCAAGCAGGCCTTGCAAGCCAGAATGCCCGGCACAACCACGTCCTGGCTTCAGGATAAGCCCCATCCTCAATTCCTGTCCATCCCAACTCAAACCAGGCGTGTAAATCAAAGTCCCTGGCCTCCTTTCCATTTAACCAACCACCTTTCCTTTCACACATGGGGTGCTTTCCCTGGTCTGCACCCGTTTCCAGAAAGGAGAAATCAGGTTTTGCCTTCCGCAGCAGGAACCACACTCCTAAGAGGCCCTTTCCAGCTGTTTCATTTGTTATTGTATATCGCATCGCGTGTTGTGTTGCTACCAGCCTTTCTTAAGCCTCCAGTATCACAGTTCCCCCAACTGCCCTGCAATTTCCTCTCCGCAGCCTTAGAAGGCGAGATGGGGCCGGCTCTGAAGTCACCCAAGGAATTTCACAAGCCTTTCGTGAAATTTGGAGGGTTTCATTCTTAAGACCGCCGGTTCTTCCTTCCTCCTCCACAAAGCGAGACTCGGATTGTGAATTGCATCATCAGAGACCGGTGTGGGATTGCTTGGAGCCACCTGAGCCTCCAAAGGAAGGAGGGGTGTCAATATTTTTTTTTTTTAAAGCATTATGAAATCATTGATTGTCGGCAAGGATGGCTGTCCGAAAAAGATAGGCTGATGAAGCTTTTTGTGCGTGTGTGTGTGTGTGAAATAAGATTTTATATTTATAATACAGTGCATTTATAATACAGCACAATACAGGGCTGTATTTATAACCCGGGGCATTTTAGAACCCCTGCCTTGTCTTTCTAGATTTATGTCTCCTTTGGGAGGTGGAAGTCTCTACGTGTGCAAGGGGGAGCACGTTTCAAGCACACACGCACGAGCAAGAGGGCCATTAACGTCTTCACAGGCCGTTTGGGCACCGATATTTTTGTGGTGCACATTTAAAGTAGAATCAATGCCCGGAAGGTGCCAGAGATTCTCTAATGGAGAGGGCAATAATGGAAAGGCCATTCTGCGTTCAGGTGGGCTTGCACTATAAATCCCATCGCACCCAGCCAGAATATAACCCACTGGGTGCGATGGGATTTATAGCGCGGCCCACTTGAACGCAGTTCTAAATGGGTTGGTGGGTCTGGATGAAGGCAGGGGAGGATTCCAGGGTGACCCTTCCTCATCCTGGGGCCTTCCAGGTGGCACCGGGATGCCAGTCCGCCAGCTGATTGGAAGGAGATGGGAGTTGTAGTTCAATCTCATCTATCATTGCATTTGGTTTCCTCAGTGATGCATTGGTGGGGTCTTTGTTGGGTGGGTAACAGCCCTGAAGATGTGAGAGAATGGGATTTGTAGTCCACCTAGAACACACACTAGCACCCAAAATGGGGGAAATGGCCTACCCAGCCGTCACAGGAATTGGTTCCCCAATCTCCAGCAAATGGAATGAGACTTGCGCGGCTGTGCAGACAGGCCAAGAAAGAGAGAATGGGATTTGTAGTCCAAGCCATTTGAAATCCCCAGCCCCATCCTCCCCAGCCTTCCCAGCACCAGGTCCCCCAATCCTTAGGGAGGCACCTGCTGGGGAGAATGGGTTTTGTTGGGGAGCAGGCAAAGAGGCCAGAGGATGGGATTTGTAGTCCAAACCATAGAACTTTCAGTGGCAGGGGAATGGAACCCCAACCTCCACAATCCTGCGCTGGGCAAGATGGGATCTTTAGTCCAACCCATCAAAGAACCAACAAGGGCAAGGAAACAAGAGTCCCATCTTCCTCATTCTTCCTGGCTCTGCAATCTTCAAGGAGGCAGGCTGCGGTGGATCATGGGCCTCTTAGTGGGGACCCAGCCAAACGTTAAGAGAAGAATGGGATGTGTAGTCCATTCCACCCAGAACCAGGAGCCTAAGTCCCATCTTCCCCATCCCTCCTAGCTCTCCTATCCCCAGAGAAGCAGGCTGGGGATCATGGGCCTCTTAGCAGGGACCCACCCGAGGTAAGAAGGATGGGATGTGTAGTCCTACCCAACTAGGCACGCCGCACAAGGGGGCAGGGGAAGCAAGCCCCCCCCTCCCCTCCCAAGGAGGATGGGCTCTGTAGTCCAGCCCCAGCACGTCCCGCACTCCCCCTTCTCCCCTCCCCGGCAGGGGATGATGGGCCCGTCCACCCACTTACCCACCTGGGCCGGGGGGGGGGAGCCGTACCTGCGGGGGCGGGGCTTCCCTCACGCCCCCAACGGCCGGCGGGCGAAGCTGGGTGGGGGGCGCGGCGGGGAGGGGGGGCATAGAGAGCGCCGTGCGCCTCTCAGGTCGCCGCCGACGCCGCCGCTGCGCGCTTCCTCCTCAGCCCGGGCAGCCGGCGACTCATCCCGCCGCCGCTGCCGCCGCCGCCGCGACCGCCCGGCTGGCCTCGGGCTTTGTTTTGCTTGGGGCTTCCTCGGCCCCGCCCCCTGGGAGGGCTCGCGGCCCAGCGCATGCGCCGCAGCAGCCTGGTGGCCGTTAAGCCGAGCGAGAGGCGCGCGCCGTCGTCCGCCGTTGCCGCGAGCGACGGCCAATCGCGGCGCAGAGGCCGACTCCGCTGGGTCTTAGAGCCCGCACGGAGTCGCCTCTGCTGAGCTGGGGGCCGGGTGGGGGGGGGGGGTCCATTTATGAATTTATTACTGTTGTTGCTGTTTTCTTGTTTTGTTATTGTTATATTAATTGCATTATATTATTGTTGCTACTGTTGCTATTTTATTAATCTATTTTTATTATCAATTATCAATGTCATCGTCTATCCTCATCATCATCCTTATCATCATCCTCATCTTCATCATTTCCACCCTGGATGCAGGGAAGCATTCAAAGCAGCCCCTCCTTTTCTGCCAGCCCACTTCGCTCGCCTTGCAACTTGAGCTCCTTGATGGGAGAAGGCTGGCTGGGGAGGATGGGTGTTGTTGTTGTCGTCCTCCACTTGCACGCACAGGGGGATGGGAGGCCGCTGGCTTTTCTGTCCGATGGTTGATTGCACACACGATGCTTTTACATCGTGATCTCTGGGGGTCACGTCGCGAGATCACCAGCAAAGCAGCCCCCAATGAATCCGCCGTAAAGCGAATCGAAAGAGATGTTCTGTCTGCGGCCTCTCTGGCTGGGGGAGGCCGATGGGAGCTGTAGTCCGGCCAGGATGCCAGAGGCTTGGTTACCCAGGAGGATCATTGGGGGGGGGGTGTCTATTAAGTTTCTAGACACCCCACCCCAAGAATGGAGACTCCCAAGGATTCCTAGCTAGCTTGGCTCGGCTCTTGTGACCTAGAGACAGGCCCAGAGAGATCAGGAGAGAAGAGACACGGGAATCTCTTAAAACGTTACTGACACCTTGTGGCAGCTCCAGCAAAATATATGTTTTCCTTTGCCACATGGATTAAACTTGTTTCAAGGGCACCTGGAAAGTGTGTGTGAATCACTTAATAGAAACGGAACTATGAGATAAAGCTATCACTGGAGGGTGAAGTTTGCGAGAGATTGAAGGACAGGGCAAGAGGGGGGTGGGGGGAAAGGAGGCCACCTGGTGTTTTTGGGGTATCGGTGGTTGGAGTCTCCCAAACCATCGCCAAGGTAGCAGTTATTTAATCGTTTATTTTACCTGGGCCATTTTTCATGTGGAATAACCAATGCCTGAATTAACCCCTTTCTCCTGCTCTTAGCGGCTTTGTAATTTGCTTTGATGGTATACGGGTAGTTCCTTGACTTCCAACAGTTCAATTAGTGACCGAAGTTTCAACAATCGTGGAAGAAAAGAGACTTTATGGCCGTCTTTCACACTTAACAACCGTTGCAGCATCCCCAGGGGTGTGCGATCAAAATTCGTACGCTTGGCCCAGAAGGCCCACCAGGCTGCAGAGGTCCCTCTCCATCCAGATGAAGGGGGAGGAACCACGGACGACGATGACCGGTCGCCGGGTCCTTATGACAGTGAGGACGAGGGCGAAAACGACCCAATGGTGAGTGGACCAATTCCCCCTTTCGTCTTCCCAATACGGCTTACAGCCCCAAAAACGGAAGTGAGGGGAGCTGAATGTCAACTTGTAAAATATTTCTGTGGTCTTTTATTAGTTGCCAACAGTAATAACAATATTTGATGATGGTTGTGGTGTCCCGGAATCGTGTGGACCCCTCCCCCCTTTTGCGACCTTCTGACAAGCGAAATCCATGGGGAAGCAACTGGAGTGATTCGCTTAACAACTGGAGTGATTCACTTAACAAATGTGGCAAGGAAAGTCATAACATGGGGCAAAAACTCACTTAACAGCTGTCTTGCTTAGCAAGAGGAACGTTGGGCTCAATTGTGGTCGTAAATCCGAGGACCCACCTGTATTGTAGAAAATGTGTGCGTTATGAATTGGTTTTGAAAAAAGACCCAGCTTCTCCCTCATTCCAAATATCCACAACTACTGGGTTGCTTTAGTAATCCAGGATCAAATTTAATGAGTTCCTTCACGTTTGTTTTTACAGGAATCTGATGGCATGTATTAACAAGACATTTAACTGTTCCATTACTTTTTTAAAAAAAAAAGCATGTACGCTTACAACAGAAGACAAAAATATAAACTTTCTCTACTTACAATAATCCTATACAGAGCATAAGAACCAAATCATAAAGTTTGTCACACAACAGAAACGTTTTTATGTTATCAGGTAACATACGGGAAACCCTTTATAAAATTATGCTTTTGTTTCAGGTTTTAAATGAACCATTAACTAAAACTAGCTATGCAGGGGGGGCCTGGAGTACATGACTAAGGCACCAACAGTACAAAGCAATAGAAAAGCAAAACGTTATTTCCTTAAGTAGTGCGTTATACACTGACACGCCACGAGAAAAGGCAAAAAGAGTAAACGGACGTTGCAACTTTTGAGCATTTGTCCTCAGACGATATACCATTTCTTCCAGTTTTCATCCAAACTGCCATGATAGTCTTCCTCAAGGCTTCAGTAATTTAATCTCAATTTCCCTAACTTGGGTGTTCTTAAGATTCTTGGCAACAACCAAGCCTAAAACCCTAACCCAAATCCGTGCTCTAAAATCTAAACCTGAACTTACTTTGAGGCTTTCCTAGAACATGAACCTTCGACGCTGAACAAAAATAATTTACCGTTCAACTGAGAACTGCGTCAAAACATTGTTGGCTGGAACCAACAATGGCCTACCTCACCTGAGCTCATCTCAAGTTAAGGTTTCATCTGCAGGAATCAATTTAGCCTCAAGAAATTGAACGTATCTCCCCGTGATTAATTCTTGCACGGATCTGAGCATGCTATAGCCAAGGACATGATGTTGGGATGGTGCTATAGCTTGCTGGCAATATATAAGATGTGCATATCTCAAAAGTTCCTACATTTAGGCTCTAGAATCAGCAGGGGTGAAAATGATTTCTGCCCAATCGTTGGGGGGAATTCACTGCCAGTTGGGGGTTTCACTTGCCTTACATATTGCTTTCCATTACTAAAGCGCAATCCATCATAATCAGTTAAGGCAAGGGTCTCAAACTTGACAACTTTAAGACTCGTGGACTTCAACTCCCAGGATTGCTGGCTGGGTATACCCTGAATTAAGGTACACCCAGCCGTATCCCTGACACTATGGTACAACCAGAACTCCTGGAAGGGCAAACATGCTTGCAGAGAACTCTGGGAGTTGTGGTCCCGAACCTCTGGGGAGGTTAGGCAGTCATCTAATATCCACCATTTTTGGTAAATTAAGAGGTTACTTTTAAACTAGGTTGTTTGGCCTACTCATGGGGGAGTTCCATGAAGGATCTGCATCAAAGGGTCTTCCATTTTTCCCAATGGATCTGCATAGTCTCAAACGTGATATCCAAAGTATTTTGTAAATGGCCAGCAGAGGTTCATTCAATTCATATTAGGTCCAATATATCCATATATTCCATATTTACATATATCAAAGCTTTTTGAATAGGCATGAATATGATTGCATATTCTTTGATAGTGTAATTTCTAGTATATATGGCATAAGAAATAATGTATTAGTACTGTACAGATAGAAGCATTTCTTTAAAAAAAGACAGAATATGATAACAGAATAGCAGAATTGGAAGAGGCCTTGGAAGTCTTCTGGTCCTTAGGCAGGAAACCCTATACCATTTCAGACAAACGGTTGCCCAATCTCTTCTTAAAAACTGCTACTCACAGCTTCTGGAGGCAAGTTGTTCCATTGATTCATTGTTCTAACTCTCAGGAAATTTCTCCTTAGTTCTGGGTTGCTTCTCTCCTTGGTTAGTTTCCACCCGTTGCTTCTTGTTGCTTCTTCAGGAGCTTTGGAGAATAGCTTGACTCCCTCTTCTTTGGGGCAGCCCCTCAGATATTGGAAGACTGCTATCATGTCACCCCTAGTCCTTTTCACTAGATTAGACATATCCAATTCCTCCAACCATTCTTCATACATTTTAGCCTCCAGTTCCCTAATCATCTTTGCTGCGTCTTCTCTGCACTTTCTAGATTTTCAACATATTTTCACATCATGGTGACCAAAACTGATCTTACCAAGGCATTATAAAGTGGTATTAACACTTCACGTGACCTTGATTCTACCCGTTAATGCAGCCTAGAATCGTGCTAGGGTTTTTTTGGCAGCTGCAGCACACGGGTGGCTCATATTTAAGTGACTGACCACTAGGACTCCAAGATCCCTCTCACCATTCCTACTATTGTGCCAGGCATCATCTATATACTACAGTTTTGCATTTGGTTTTTCTTGCCTAAATGTGGAGCCTTACTTTTTTCACCAAGACATTCTATTCTGTCAAAAGATGTGCCTTTAATGAACAGTTAGTGGCCAAAAGTCAATTGGCAGACAGATTGACTATCTCAAAGCAGATTTTAGTACAGGGGTCCCTAACCCCTGCTGCACTGGCCTATGGCATGCCAGAAACCGGGCTGCACAAACAAGCAAAGCCACATCCGTGGGATGCAGGCAGTGTGCAAAACCACATCCACAGAACCGATCCCTGGTGCCCAAAAAGTTTGGGGCAGCACTGTTTTAATATGTTTTGTCTGTAGCTTCCCTTGTCCAATTGTAAATTGCAGGTGAATAGGATCGTACAAAACATAATAAACAAAGGCAACAAAGCTTTCCATTCCTGTAACAAAAACTGCTGTGTTGTCTCACTTGAGAGACTCTTTAACAGTCTAAAACCACCAAATTAATGTTGCAATAATGATGCAAGCCAAGCCCCAAGAACAGCTCAACTTAACAGCAGGCATTATGGTAAACTCTGTTTTTTTAAAAATGAAAGACGGATCTAAGACAGGTCTGAACAGTCATAGGAAGTTGCAGAGAACTTGGGACCTGTCAAACCTTTTCCAACAATATTCTCAATCTATGTTTTTTGCAGTTTCCATGAGAATTAACAGAAAGTAACTTTCAAAGACACACATTTATTAAGTTTGGTTTAGCAGGCTGATTGCTTATGTATTAATGTAGAATGCTATCATCTGTAAACACCTAATATAAACTTTGATATACACCTTACGTAACTTCGGATGCACCTGAAGAGGCCAAAACTGTAATTCTAATTTCCTAACAAACAGTCTTACTGAGCTCAATGGAATTTTGGATCAGAGAAACAAATTAACTAACTGTGGATCAAGCTGAGAACCATAATGCCAGATTAGCTTCGTTAACAGGAAAATAAAACTTACTCATTTCAGCATATATGCATAGCGACTGGCCCACTAAGAATCCACTCAAAGGACTTTCTCGCCCTTGCAGGAAGAAAAATTAAACACAAGTCACCCCGAGACTAAAACAGCAAGACTCCCCATTCACAAAAAATCTTCAAAAGGCAAACAAAATTATTTGGAAAAAGTAAAAGGTAAATTTTCAAAACGAAATTTTAATGTTTGATTCGTAACAAGGGCACTGCTGCCAAAATACAACAGAGCAAAAAAGACGTTGGAACAGCTAAAAACACGCTTTATTCTCCCCGATGAAATGTTCTCTTTGCTGGGGAGAATTTCATTGAGCATAATTGGAGGTAACTTTTTTTGTTTATTTGTTTGTTTCAGCTCCAGCTATGTGGCACTTAAGACAATCATCTGTGCACAGAAAGCTTTTAACAGTCATGCGAGGAGGAGAACACCGTCATCATTTTAGAACAAGGTAAAATTTCTCACCAAGAGCAGGAGGGGGCGGGGGGAGAAAGTGTCAATGAGGCACCGCACTGGAACAGAACATCTAGTAAACTCCACACTGTACAGTTTCAAAAACAAATACTTGAAGAGCTATCATTAAAAAAAAAAAGAAAGAAAGAAAGAAAAAGCAGAGTATTGATGAAACAGAACCAAGTGGCGGGTTCATTTCACGGGCCTGGGTTGGGGGGGGGTCTTGATAATGCAATTTAAATCAGCTGACTGAACAAGAGGCCCAGAGTTATCAATTCTGGAAGCATATGGGAAGAGGGGGAACGTTACAGGAAATAAATGCGAGATGCCGACATGCTACGCAAATAAGTTGTTCCCACTTTCTTATTTTAAAGATGCAGTGTTCCTTTTTTCTTTTCTTTTTTTTTCCAGAGACCACCACATACATTCAAAAGAAAGGTACCAAATGAGGATTCTTCGCATTTGGGTGGAGTTTTTTTACATTGTTCACAAAAGTTTCTCGGATAATACGTATTACCACCCCTGGATGCGTTTCCAGAAAAAAAGAAACCCATCAAATGTTAAGATTTCGTTATCAAGTCATTTTTGCTGGGTTGAAAACAGCAGGGGGGGGTGGGGGGGATTGTGTTCAAATCAACAATCCAGACTGCCTTCTGGGAAAGCAGATGCGTCTTGGAAATGTGTGGCGTTAGAAATCCCAGGTGTACCATTCAAAGTTAAAATTGCACAAGTGCCTACGACCTCATAAAGTGGTGGGAGGGGGGAAGAGAAGGGGCGGTTTTTCTGCATCGTTTGCCGAAACATCTCAGCACTGAAGTGACCTGCCTTAATTTATGCCCGGAAGGGGAGGGGGAGTAGTGAAAAGTATAAATACAGCGTAGGCCTGCATCTGTCCTCTCGTACTGCGCATGTCAGTAAACATGGCAAGCTTAAAGAAGTGCAAAAGTTGTGGCGAATGCCCTTGACTTAAAGTGCCCTCAATGTTCCTTTATTATTATTATTATTACTACTATTATTATTTCCTCTCAAATGCCGTTACAAAAATCTTAGAAAACCGAAAAATGATTTCAAGGTATAAAACAGCCTGCCCTCTCCTTAAGGTCAGAAACCAACACTGCATCTTTCAAACCAGAAAGGGACAAGGTCTAAACCAACCGGCGTCATCTAAGGGTGGTGTGTTTAAGAGAGAAAAGACAGTACCTGCAAAAGATCGGTTGGGCGGGGCGAGGGGTGGGGTTTACACGCAGGAGTATTGGTAACGTTTCTTCAGGCGTCGCAGAGAGAAATCGGTTGAAGACATAGAAAGCCAGGACAACCATAGAAATGGTCCTCCTGAATGGCTTGAAATGTTTAGTGGATAAACTGAAGGAGGCCACGTCATATAATCATAGAGAAAGAACCAGGAAGAGAACGTCTGCGAAGAGTGTGCCCAGCCCTTTAATTCCTTTATCCTACAAAATATTAAAAAAAAAAAAAAGACAAAGGGGGAACGTTTTAATGGAAAACGGAGCATACACGTCGGACAGAGAGATCACTCCGTACAGGTAGTCCTCGACTTACGATCGCAGTGGGGCCCAGAATTTCTGTTGCTAAGTGAATTTTGCTCCATTTTATGATCTTCCTTACCACCATTGTTAAGTGAATCCCTGCAGTTGTGAAGTTGGTAACACAACTGCTGAGTGAATCTGGCTTCCCCGTTAACTTTGCTTGTCAGAGGGTCACAAAAGGGGATCACGTGACTTCAGACAGTCACTAAACAAATGGTTTGAAGTCGGCAACTATCTGTACAGTGTACTTCAGATTATAAAATAACACAGGATTATCTGCGGAAGTTGACTAGCAATAGCAATAGCACTTAGACTTATATACCACTTCACAGTGCTTTACAGCCCACTCTAAGCGGTTTACAGAGACAGCATAGTTTCCCCCCCAACAATCTGGGTCCTCGTTTTACCGACCTCAGAAGGATGGAAGGCTGAGTCAACCTTGAGCTGGTGAGACTCGAACTGCCGAACTGCTGGCAGCTGGTGGTCAGCAGGAATAGCCTGCAGTACTGCACTCTACCCACTGCGGCTCCTGAACCTTATATATTTATTAAATTTGTATGCTGCCCATCTCACTGTTGAGAAACTCTGGGCCGCTTACAACTTATACATAAAAAGTGACATTCAGGGAAGTTTGCCTTTGATTTTCCTTCTGGAGGTAGACCTACAAAACATTTTTTTTTAAACTTAAAGCAAAATGTTTGACATTTCAGCTTTTGCAATACAAAGGTTAATACAGAATATTAAAAGTGCTGTTTTCTAGGTGTATGAATTGAATAGTGGATGAAATGGCAAATTATCATTGCTTTCGAAAGGAAGACTACATTCTCACTGTGTGAGTGGAGGGGGACGGGGGGGATCCATAAGCCCTTTAGGAAAACTAACTGAAGCCATTACAGGGTTTTGGGTTGTTTTTCTGAATTCTTTCAGATATTTTAGGTGAATTTTGGAATAGCCCCTTGGGGCTTCTCCCTAAGTTCCTGAGTAAATTTTTCAAAAGCTTTTTGGGAAAGGCTTAATGATTTGCAAGCCTTAACTGTGATAATGTTAAAATAATTTAAAATTTATCAAATGATTACATGAAATACAAAAGAAGTTGCCCATTTCAGGTAGTAACCTACCCTTATGCCATTTAGGATCTGTATCCTGGCTGGAATCTGGCCGTTTCCTCAAAAATTAGTTCTTTCAGTTTTTCCTTCGGCAAGTCATCCAGCTCCATATCAAATTTGAACGGTGCTTCAGCTACAGGCTTTAGAAAAATAAAGAACAGACCATCAGAAACATGAATGATATTGAGGCACAATAGGAATATGTCAATGGGAAAGTTCTCAATTTTTTAAGTGTTCTAAAGCTGCTCAGGAGACTTTGTGGTCAAAATTAGAATATGAATCACAGAAAATAATGCTTGCTAAAATTACCTGCACAAATAGTCACATCTACAGTATAAAAATGCAGTTACAGAAGTTTTACAGTTAGTCCTCGACTTACAATGTTTAGTGACCGCTCAAAGTTACAATGGCATTGAAAAGTGTGACTTATGAACATTTTTCACACAATCATTCACAGCATCCCCGTGGTCACGTGATCAAAATTTAGATGCTTGGCAACTCATACTTATGACCGTTGCTGTGTCCCAAGGTCAGGCTGATCCCCTTTTGCAACCTTCTGACAAGCAAAGTCAGTGGGAAAGCCCGGCTCACTTAACAACCAGGTGACTAACTTATCAACTGCAGAGATTCGCTGAACAACAGTGGCAAAAAAAGTCATAAAATGGGGGCAAAACTCACTTAACAACAGAAATGTTGGGGTCAATTGTGGTCATAAATCAAGGACCAACTATACTTGGTTACATTTATTAAAATATGGTTTGGGGAGCTGGCGAGATAACGATTTTTCACACGTTGATTGATATATGCTAAGGAAAATAATTGGTGGTAACTATGAATGTGGTAGAACAGCTATTTTTGGCCTTATTTTTGAAGTATGGTTCTGCTCTTACAGACATCTGTCTTGAAAGCAAGTAAATCTTACAGCTTCAGAAATTGTAACTGAGACCCTCATTAAATGGCTAAACTTGTATATGGCTAGTCCTCGACTTACCAGCACAGTTGGGACCAGAATTTCCACTGCTAAGCAAGGTGGTTGTTAAGTGAGCCACGCCTGATTTTACAGCCTTTTGTGCCACGATCTTTAAGAGAATCACTGCAGTTATTGAGTGAGTCACGAGGTCGTTGGGGAAATTTGACTTTGTTTGCTGGAAGTCACCCAGGAAGGCTGCAAATGGTGACCCCAGGACGCTGTAACCTTCATAAATGCCAAGCACATGAAATGTCATCAGGTGACTAGGGGAATTACAGTGACCGTCATAAGTTCAAGCACCAGTTGTAACTTTTTTTTAGTATGGTTGTAATTTCAACCAGTGACTGAACAAATGGGTGTAAGTTGATCCAAAGGTGCTTTTTCAAAAGGCAACTGGACTTCGTTTCTTCCTTGAAGACATTCCACTTCTCATCTGAGAAGCTTCTTCAGTTTTGACTGAATAGTGGAAGATGGAAGGATTTATATTCCTTTGCAGTCATCTGGTCGTTAGCGCTCTTTCTGACAGTCACTGAGGCCACTTGGAGATTTATCTGTGCGCCCTCAGGGTCACCCGAATAGGGCCAATGACTGCAAGGAATATAAAAAGCACCTTTGGGACAACCATGACCTGGAGAATCTCCACAGACAGTTGCAAGTTGAGGGGTATCTGTATAAATATATAAAACAAGATTTGAGCTGTAAGCACTTGTTGGCCCCTCTGGCTGCCAAACTCAAAGCGTTGAATTAAAGTGTTTCTACACTTGTCAAACAGCCAGGATACCATAGCCTCCATACCTCATCACTGGGGTCGTAATACTGTTCTAGGTAAGGGTGAGCCAAAGCTTCTTCCACTTCAATTCTCTTGTGAGGGTTGAAAGTCAACATTTTATCCAACAGATCAAGAGCTAGAGAGACAATTTTTAGAATTAGTTTGGCTTGCATTCTACTCATCCTGATGTCCACCCGATACAGAACATGCTGAATAATGTTTAAATTCCCCACCCCGGGGGTTGCAAAACAATTTCACGGAGCAACCACAAAAGGAAGGCTCTAGTCTGAGCAGGACTTCACCTACAATAAAAACACTTACTGAGAAGAAAACAGGAAATGCTTGTACATTTTTCAACGTATTCACGAGGAATATCGTAAATATGGAGGGCTAATTCTTTGGATATGAGCATTAATGAAGACAGAGAAAGAGTAGGGACTGTTACAAATCTCAGCTCTTGTAATTTTTCCTAGAACTCATCTTATGCCATGGTTTTCCAGAACGTCAGAATCTTATTCTTTTAAGTTACCTTTGGGATCAGCATTTTGAAATAATCTGTTCCAGGGAACTTTATTTTTATACGGTAGAGAAAGCAAGTAATTTCTCGCTTTTGCGTTGATTATACAGTTCAAGTCTTCTTGGGAAGGAGACCCAAGAATTCCTGCAACATGAAGGGGGGAAAAGGAAGAGAAATTATTGCAAAAATAAAGTATATCTGTCTGGTGAATATAAGTTAACTTAAATTTATTATCGTTTGCTCAAGTTCCTAGTTCCAGCAAATAAAGAAAAAGGAAGAAACACCAATTAGACATGTTAAGAGTCTCTGTATTATTTATATGTAAAAATATATTTCTTTTTTTACCAAGAATGTGGTTGAGCTGATCAAGGTAGTGTTTCCCTGGGAAGATGGGTCTGTTTGATAGCATCTCTGCCAGAATACAGCCCACAGACCAAATATCAATAGATTTGGTATATCCCTAGAGATAACAAGGGGGAAAAACATCTGCTATAATGTTGCATATTTTACAGTTCTGGAGTTCTCAAATATGACCATTTTCTAGCATGTCACTACTTCTACCATTTAACAATATTTTAGACTTTATACTTAGGATTTCTTGAAGCATTATAAAAATGCACTATAAAAAATATTTGTTTATACAACTCCATAAACCACTATACCTAAAGTTCAATTCCTTGGCATCCACAGGACATGTTTCAACACATAGATATTAAATAACAACTTTAAATGGATAGTATACATGTTATCCAGCTATGAGCCTACACATAACACACACATGCACACACAAAAAATCCCAGGACAATATTCTAGAAAAAAATATAAAACAGGAACCACCATTTTATGATCAGCAAAGTTAAACTAATATTTTACATAAACTAGGCTAACTCAGTTAAACAGGACTAATAATGGATTTCCATGAGGAAAATGATTTCCATGATTTGGATCAAAAACTCTGCTATAATATTAAATACAAAACATTTCAACTCTCACCTTAGAATTCAACATGATTTCAGGAGCTCTGTACCAACGTGTAGCTACATATTCTGTTAGGAAACCAGTGTGGTCATGATCTGGGTCTGCCACACGAGCCAAACCAAAATCACATATCTATTATGGGATAGAAGAAAGGATTGTTGCTGTTTTTAGAAAGAGTAGGGTTTCTTTTTTCTTTTGAGACAGCAAAATTCATTTTTTAAAAAGGGGGGATATATTCCACAAGGGGAAAAGCCTGCAAAGATGGCAGTGTTCCAATACTTGAGAGGCTGCCACAAAGAAAAGGGGGTCAACCTATTTTCCAAAACACCAGAAGGCAAGACAAGAAACAATGGATGGAAATTAACCAAGGGAGGAAGCAACCTAGAACTAAGAAGTAGTTTACTAACAGTGAGAGCAATCAACCAATTGAATGGCTTGCCTTCAGAAGTTGTGGGTGCCCCATCACTGGAGGCTTTCAAGAGACTCGACAACCATTTGTCTGAAATGGTATAGTTTAGTTTACTTTGTCACTGCACCTCGTACAACGAAATCAAACACAGTCTTCAGTGCACATCATGACCATGAAAATGAACACACACATCCTTCACCCTCCACACATTGAACCAAGACCCCCGACACCGCACCAACACTGCACTATACAGCAGAATTCAAAAGAGCTACTGCCCTGGGATAGAAGCTGTCTTTCAGCCTATTTGTCCTTGTTTTTATTATTCTGTACCATCTGCCAGATGGTAATAGTTCAAAAAAAGGGTTCCCAGGATGAGATGGAATTTTGAGGATGTTTTGAACTTTCTTAAGGCAGCGGGAGCTATAAAGCTCTTCCAAAGAGGGGAGAGGGCCCATGATCCTCTGGGCAATGATGTTAACCCTCTGGAGTGCTTTCCTATCTGCCCCTGTGCAAACCATACAGAGGTGCAGTATGTTAAAATGCTCTCTTATGGTGCAGCAGTAGAAGGTCACCAGCAGTTTTTCATTCTGTTGTTGTTTTCTGAGAAGTCTCAGGTAGCCTAATCTCTGCTGGGCCCTTTTGACCAGAGTATAGGGTCTCCTGCTTGAGCAGGGGGCTGGACTAGAAGGCCTCCAAGGTCCCCCTTCCAACTCTGTTATTTGGTATTCTGTAATCCCTTGAGCTGTTCCTAAAAAGCTAAATACAGACCTTGAGATCACAAGTAGTGTTTAGCAGCAAGTTGGACGGTTTGAGATCCCTGTGCAATACGTTGGCTGAATGGATGTATTTCAATCCTCTCAGAATTTGGTAAAGGAAGTAACAAATGTGATCGTTGCTGAGATGTTGAGTCTTCAAGAGTTTGTAAAGATCTGTCTCCATGAGATCTTGCACAATGTAGCTGAAAAGTGAATTAAGGCAACAAAACCAACACATGTGTTATATCAGATAATGTACTTTGGCTGAGCTTCTGAGATGTTTAAAGTCGTACTTCTGTATTACAGAATAAACAACTACAAAACGGAAACAATGACAAAATTTCTGCGTGGTTCATGCATAGTATATAGGTAGTCCTCCACTTATGACCACCACTGAGCCCAAAATTTATGTTGCTAAGTGAGAAATTGGTTAAAGTGAGTTGTATGAGTTTTCTTGCCATGTTTGTTAAGTGAATCACTGCAGTTGTTAAGTTAGTAACACGGTTGTTAAGTGAATCTGGCTTCCCCACTGACTTTGCTTGTCAGAAGGTCGAAAAGGGGGCCACATGACCCCGGGACACTGCAACCGTCATAAATGTGAGTGAATACATCATCATGTAAATTACATCCAAATGGGGATGCTGCAAGGGTCATCAGTGTGGAAAATGGTCGTAAGTCACTTTTTTCAGTGCCATTGAAACTTCAAACGGTCAGTAAGTGAACTGTTGAAAGTCGAGCACAACCTATGCATATAATAATAACCAGAATAAATAATTTTACTTTAACTCAAAGAAGAAAAGACGACAATGAGAATAGAAGGATGTAGGGTTTTTAAAGGATACACGTCTTTCATTTGATCAATAGTTGGAGCTCTAATGATGTCATTGATCCCAATAATATTTTCATGCTTGAAACGCAACAGGATTTTGATCTCTCTCAGGGTTCTTTGACAGTAAGTCTGGTGTTCGAAAGGACTGATTTTCTTTATCGCCACCCGAACTCTGTTCAAATTATCATAGGCTGAACTGGAAAAAAAAAAAAGGTGATAAAATAAACTCAACGATCGGCAAAACAAGAGACCTTCTTAAATAATTTAGCAGCATTTCCACCTTGTCTCCCAACCAATGTTTGATTAAGTTTCAACTATATCTTCCTTTGGTGCCAACAACCACAAAAATTGCAGAGCACACATTTTTCTTCTAAATCTTTGCCCATATTGTGTTTCTTCTCTATATGTTCATATTGTTTCCTTCTCAGCAATATAGTAGATAGAAATTGTTGGTCCCAAAAGAAATGTTGCTTAAAACAAAGAGTAGGCTCCAGCATTATAGACACTGAGGTTGATCCACCCATTTCTTTTCATGACGACCTTGCCTAATTTCAGAGACAGTGAGGATTGTAGGGTTGTGTTGAAGGGGTAGGTTGTAATCTAGGGAACAAGAGAGGACTTGGGGTCCTCCAAATTAGGACACCCTGATACCCATTCACCATTTTTAAGGCAGGAGGGGCTGTTAGGAGGAAGAAGAGCAAACTAATTTGGACAACCTCATAATGTCCAGCACATGTAAACTGAAACACACAGAAATATTCACTTTAACTCCTATTTCAAAACTTAGATAATTTAGACAACGTTGCCCATCTCTGTAAACATACTATTATATGGTAAAAAGGTTTTTTTTTAAAAGTGCTACAATTTAGCAAAGGATAATAATAAACAAGTGGGACTTTTCCTGTGGATTTGGATACATTAATCCAGCCACCCATTTGCCTTCCTTGTCCTTTGACAATGCTCATTTTCTGCTCTGGTGGATTTTCAACACTGAGGAGCACTAATATATAAGCTTATCTGAATCTTGAAAAGTTTAAGGAATGTGTTCTTTGAAAAGTAGCAAGATTATTGCTTTGTCGACCCAGTTCTTGCTGTTGCTTGGCGACCACACTTAATTTAGCTTAAATTTCACTCTAGATTTCAAGCCTAATAATAGATTACCAATTCAGTTTTCAACCGAAGGATGACTTCTATAGTCTAACTATATAACCGAAGGATGACTCCTATAGTCCGTTCCAATAAAGCAGAAGACAAAAAGGAATTGAAGCAAAATTTGGCTGAGATTCTCGCTCTCTGTTCTTCCCACCAGGGTCATTCAGCAGGAGCTTTTCAAACAGGCTAAATGAGCTATTTCTAGATAACCATTATACCAACTGTAAATCAGATTGCCTTTTCCTCCTGTGTCATGTATTACAGATATAAGTCTGGAGCCAGGCACTCTCTTTGCAAGGATTTTTGTGAGTTTTCAGGCAACTTTTCTAATTAAAGAGGTTAAAAATGCTTTAAGTAAACAAAACTTCTGCAAAAAACAACAACACCCCAACTTGCAGCCAATTTAACCCTGAAGGAATTCAGGAAGGATTAAATCCAGCCTGCTTTTATCCTCCATTTTTACTCTTTAAGAGAGAAAGAATATTTCCCCATGAAGTTAACCCAATTAAAAGGAAGATTTTCAGAGAACTGTGTAGTAACAGATTTATAAGTGATACAATAATCTGGAAGAGAAAACTAATAGAGTAAGAAACCCACTATCAAAAGCTAACGAAAGTTATTAGGAAACAAGAGCTTTAGATATCGATGTGTGTGCAAATCAGGTGAATCACACACTGAAGTGAAATAAAAGGCTGACACCTAAGAATAATTAATTTTTATATTCCTGACGAAGGGGAAGAGGATTAGAATAATTAAACTTGCATGCTGCCCAACTCTTGTTGACTCTGGGTGGGTCATAACAACTGAGCAAAGAAATGTTTCATAACCTTCCTCAATCAGATGCTCTCTCCAAACCACTGTACAGGGACCTGATTCCCAGAACTCTTTGGGAAGGCGGCCAAAGCTATTACCTAGATCAAAGATCAGGGTACAATCTGTTTGACGGGTTAGGAAATAAGTCCCTTCTCTTTGTCGCTGAGCAACGCATCACTGGTTTGCCAGTGCACCTTTGTCAAGCCCAGGAGTGATCCTGCTTTGAAAGGTTCAGGATCACAACCGTCTCAGGATCCCAGGTAAATGGCCATTCTTGCTTCACAATTTATGAGTTGCCTATTTAACCTGAAAGTGTAAAGGTCTATATAGCATATTCCAAAGATTATTTCAATAGCCCTGCATGAGAGTTGGTCAATGCACCTGTGGAGTGCCCAATTTCAGGAAGACCACACTAGGCATGGGAAGAATTCTGCTGGAATGTTTTAATTCTTTGTCACAGTAAGAATGGATCCCTTATGGCAAATCAGAGTTTTAAGACTATGACGGCTATCTGAGAGAGATGGGGTTTTGCTGTCGTCCAGGCTACTAAAAAGTGAAAAAGGGCGTGTTTATATCCTTTTACCGAACTAGGAAATAGAGTAGCCTGTGAGAAGTGCTTGTCATCGACTTTATTCTTAGAGAGAAGAACAAAACAAAAACAAACTTGGAACATAAACTGAGAGCAAAGGTGGAACAAGTATAGGCTTTGGCAGAAAAAAAACAAAGAAACAACTATTATTAGAGCCAAACTGAGACCAGACGATGTCTGGAATGTAACAGAGGAAAAAGGGACACGAATCTACAACTGGCAGCTTTAATCACGTTTCTTTCAAAGAAATTCAGAAGCTCGGGAAACTCAGCTTTTGCAACTAGAAGGGGTGAGCAGTATAGTCCTCAACATACGACCGCAATTGAGCCCGTTTCTGTTAAGAGAGATGTTTGTTAAGGGAGTTTTGCCCCATTTTATGACCTTTCTTGCCACAGTTGTTAAGTGAATCACTGTAGTTATCAACCCTGTTGTTAAGTGAATCTGACTTCCTCCTTGACTTTGCTTGTAGAAGGATCACGTGACCTTGGGACACAGCAATGGTCATAAGTATGAACCAGTCGCCAAGCACCTGAACTTTGATCACATGATCGTGGGGGATTCTACAAAGGTTGCAACTGTGAAAAATAGTCATGTCACTTTCTTCAACGCTGTTGTGACTTTGAACAGTCACTAAATGAACTGCTGTAATTCAAGGACTACCTGTAATTGTGATCTCCTGAATCCAGAGCCAAAGAAAGGGATGAGTTAAAGACAGAAGTCTTGATACTACTGTATTATTTCAGTGGCCACACTCAAAAGCATTAATGTTTCAAGACTTGACTGATTATTCTCAAGACTGCAGGCTTTCTCTTCACTCTTCCTGCAGGTAGGAACCCGTACAAGCACTCGTCATTATAAAAAAAAGCCACCTGCCACTTCCTTCTTTAAATGAAACAGGTAGCAGCCAACTTCAAATTCTAGCTTCGCATTATATCTTGTGGGTCGAGGGATAAGGTGAGAGTTGTGTTCCGATGCAACATTAAAAGCTTTTTCAATCCTAAAAGATTCAGCATTACCCACTGGGAAAAAAATAAAATAAAATCCCAAGATGTGCTTGAAGAAATCAGATAGAGAACGCTGGCACGCTCGTCGGTGAATGTTAGGCCAGGATTCTGAAGAATTATGCAAGACAACCCAGAGAAGGCAGTTTCCAATGTTCCTAAGTTACAAGCCCCGAAGCGTAGGCAGAAGTGACAGGAGAAATAACGTATTAAAGATGACTGCAGAATCAGTACACTGCACGTCGAAAAAGAGACATCGAAGGAAGAAAATTGTGATCAGGCTACAAAAAAAAGGACAAGAAGAAGCCAGAATTTTGCAGAAGGGATTCAAGGAAAGCCATTAGGGTTCAATATGAGAATATGGTTCACCAAAATATATTTTTAAAAAATCTGTCCCAGAGAAAACTGGAAGCATAGGGTTCAAAAAGGTGAACATGAATGCGGAATCACCAAGGCACAGAATGGAAAGTAAGTCAGGGAGAGAAAGGGAGAAAGCCACAAGAGGTCTAGAATGAAAGTTGAACAGAAGAGAGAACAGGTATATGGCAATGTGCAAATGACTACGCAGAAGAAAAAAATACAGATTAAAGTTTCATCAGTGGGAAAAGACAACCACCCAAGGCCAAGCCTGGCAGACTTTGCCAGGGAACTCTGTTCAGTCAGGTAAGGTTATAAAGACTGCCCAAAGTGAAAGGAAAAAATCATCAAAGGCTGTATTTCTTCCTATTAAGACACGATTCACTTAACCGTGACTTATTAAACCACAAGTGATTAGGTTTGCCCAACATGCTAAGAAAAGAAAAAAAACCATTTTGGTTTTGCAATGTTAGATGAATCCAGCCACGGTAACAGAATGAAACTGTATGTTGAAGAAAGAAATTAGAGAAAAACAGAGGATAAATTTCGTATCCAAACAAGCAATGTTTTCCAGCTTTAGTGAAATCTTTTTGGTCTGCCTAACTAGCATGTTCATTTGACACTGAAACAGACATACAAACCTGGATAGGGATCTGGGTAAGAAAAACCTTTGGTCACTGTTTTTAGCATACCCCGGGAACCTCACTAGTGAAAGGCCTCAGATGTGAGTCTAGCAAAGATACTGAACATGTTCAACATTCTGAAGTTTTTCATGGAATGGAAGCATTAATAACTTGACCCCGAATCAGGATGTTCACATGCTTATAATCTGCTGAAAAGTATATAAACCACAGCTGTCTTAAATTCTCACTAATCTACATACACAGAATTTAAATTCCTGTCTTAGAGGATGCTAACAGTTGCAGCTGACTGCCACATACCTATAACGAAATCTCAGAAACAGTTTTCACAGAAATAAAGTACAATATGAAGTATTAGTATCACATCTATAATGCAAAGGTTTGTATAATAGAATCACAATTCTTTCAATTAACTTATTAATACTGTATTTTCTTCAAAATTTAAATTACCTGATTGAAATTTTAGTAAGACAAACCTATCCATGGATTAGTCAAGTAGTGAAGCAGCTGTTAAGTATAAAGATGTTAGAATTTTAAAAATGAATTACCATCTAGCTCATTATGCTGAATCGGAAAAAGGCAATTCCCCAGTGGAAGATCTGAGCACTTATGCCAGCTTGCATTGATTAAAAAAAAAAGCTAAGAGCTGAGCAGTCTTTTTTTAAAGAGGAAAACAATTAACTAAAAAGACCTTAATGTAAAGTAGACTCTGCATACGCTATGAACCAAACACTTTCCTGCCTATCCTTCTGAACTGATATTGGTGTGATAGATCCTGCACACTGTGACAGCAGGCACTTGATTGACGGGCATTAAATTCTGACTTCAGACTGGCTAGTCCACACAACACAGGAGACCCCAACAGAGGAACAGAGCCTTGCTGAATGTCAGTTGAAAAAGAGCACCACCAGCTGTGTTAAGCACAAAGCCTTCACAACTGTAAACCTGTAATATATCACTTCCCCCCTTGCTGGCTCTGGTAACTAGAAAAGGCTCTGTTCCTTGCTCTCACAGCTTCCTGTACCCAAATTTTTAAAATTATATAAGACCCAACACGCTAGCCATCAAAACCCCTACAAAAATAAATTGCCATTTTTTTGTATTTGGCCTAGTCTCCTGCTGTAATTCAAACAATATACAATACGTTTTCATCCAAACCCAACTGAAAATCTTATCTGATTTCAGCAAGCGCAGCCATGCCAAACAGGGATTAAGGAAATACAGCAAGAGGGAGTACCAACAGAGATAAAAAATGACACCCCATGAGCAACAAACAGTAAAATAGGCTTAAGAATAGTTGAGCTCTGGGTCTTTGCTCCCCCACCCCCTTAGTTTAGTATACAGTAAAGGATCAGATGTTCTTCTGGTATTTTTCTGGACACCCAGAAAACTCACATATGACATGTATTAAATAATACCTGGCATGCACTCACTCGAGATATGTAACACAGGCACCCTTATACAAACACATAATGTACTCAGTTTCACACTTGCAAAGAACAGTATAGTTAATAATTAATATCTGGCATTAAATGTCATATTTACATTGTATAGACAGCAACAGCATAAAGTGATTTGCTGAAACTATAGCAGGCAAAGAAATTTGGGCATGAGAGTGTTTTATTAAGTAATCTGGGAAAGGAGATAGTAGCTTAGATCTTTATAGCTGTTATACCAATAATACGCATTATATTTTATTTGTGGCAGCAAAGTCTAATTACATTTTGGGGAAATGTGCGTAGGATCAAAATGAAAATTTGAAATATATGCTTCTTGAGGCAAGATTCATTATTTTAGGTTACAATTGCCTAAAAACAATGCTTCCCCATGGAATTTGGCACAATTAAAATATAAGGCATAAAATGTTTTCCGGGTACATAAACAGCATAATGAAATTTAGATATAGATTCCTTTGGAAAATAATGGGAATTCAGATAGAGAAAACAGAAGTGACTGCTTTAAATAAATAGATCACTGATATACATCAATACGTACCTATTTTGACTGCTTTACATTATGAGGCACCCTGAATGCCTCATTGAGGAAGAATAGGCAAAACAAATGTGTGTGGTTTTTTTAAACAGACAAGGCTGCAATCTTAAGGATATTTTAACTAGGAGTTAATAAGTTTGAACCTGGTTGGTTTCATTCCCAAATAAAAATGCCCAAGATTGCTCTGCAGTCTCCAAGCTCTTGACTTCATCCTTTATAGATGTTAAATGCAATCTAGGCACCCAACTGCATTAATTGTAATATATGTAGATCATCTTGGCTAGTTAAGAACAGAATATTAGCATGGTGCGGCAGTGAAGGTGGTGATTTTTGAATAGGGGGACCCTGTTGCACACTCAGCCATGAAAAATGTTGGGGTGATTCAGGGCCAGATGTTCTTTCTTTCTTGGCCCAGCCCTTCACTGAGTGATTGCAAATGGGGGGGGGGGGGGCTGTGTCTAGGCTGCCTTTTGCTCCTGTATGAGATGCAGAACAAAACAGAAATCAACGAACAGGCGACAGGTTTGCAATTAAAAAGGATGCGGCAACCACAACTCAAGTTTGTGCTGATGGGTCAGAGCCCAAAGAAGCTCAGATCCTTTGAAGATGGTGTGGGCTGCTATGGCTCTTGTCACTTAAAATGTGACAGGAAGGTGGAGCAACACATCTAGAAGATGCTGGTGGCTTTCAGACTCCATATCATCATCTATCACCAACATGGGAAGGCCCTTCTCCGATTCTGTGGGCAGCGATGGGAGTTGTGGTCCAACCTGGCTAGAAGGCAGCAGTCAAGCCCTGGTCCTCTCTCCAGGATGGACCACCATCCCACTGCCGGAACTGGAAGGTCCCCTGCTCCCTGGGGCAGTAGATGGGAGTCGTGGTCCAATCCATCTAGAAGGCAGCACTCATGGCCTCAGTCCAGATCCCCATCATCCACTGGAAGCCTAGGATGGACCTCCGAACCCTGGGGTAGTGATGGTTCTTGCGGTCCGACTTGTCTGCAAAGCAGCATGTACAGCCCTCAATCTAGATTGCCATCATCCATCCCCAACGAGGCTGGGTCAGCAATGGGAATTGTGATCCAATCTGTCTGAAAGGTGGAACACAGGGCTCTCCATCCTTCCCCTGCCTGGACCCCCCTCACCATCATCCATCACTAGGTCAGAAAGGTTCTGGGGAGGGGAAGAGCGGGGGGGGGGCTATGCTCCCACCTGTCTGGAAGGCAATGCACTGCCCAGCCTCAACCTACAACCCCATCGCCCGCTATTAGCATGAGAAGGCTGGGAAAGCAATGGGACTTGTGGTCCAATCTGTCTGGAAAGTGGAGCACTTTCCACTCCGTCTGGCAAGCAATGCACCCAGCCCCCACCAAGATTCCCATCATCCACTACCAGCTTGAGAAGGCTGGGAGTTGTGATCCAACGTGGCTGGAACCTTCTTCTGCTGTACCTCCCCGCCCATCATCCACAACCAACACAGAAAGGTCTGGAAAGCAACGCACCCAGTCTCTTCCTAGATACCCATCATCCACTACCAAATGGGACAAGGCTGGGACAATGACGGGAGTCATGGTCCAACCTCTCTTGGACGGCTCCCCATCTCCCCCCGTCTGGATCATCATCCCCATCATCCCCCACTAAGACAGAAAGGTCTGGAAAGCAACACACCCAGCCTCCACCGAGATTCCCATCATCCCCTACCAGATGAGAGAAGGCTGGGACAACGATGGGTGTTGTGCTCCAACCTGTCCAGACGTCTCCCCATCTCCCCCCTCCGCCGCCGCCGCCTGGACCACCCTCTCCATCATCCACCCCCCGTTGAAAAAGGCAGCGATGGGAGCAGCGGTCCCACCTATTTGCAGAGCGGCCGCGCCCCCCCTCCCCCCCCCGCGCGCAGCCGGATTCCCATCCCCATCCTTACCAGACCATCCCGTAAGCCCCTTCCCCGATATAGGAGAGGTTGGTGTAGCGAGGCCCCACGTCGAAGACTTGCCCGCGCACCATCTCCGGGACCCCGGCAGGGCTGCCCACGGCGGCCCCCGACACCGCCGCCATGTTGGTATCCGTGAGGGGAGAGGCGAGGCTGAGGGGGAAAAAGGGGCGCCGACCGGCCGGCGGGCGGGAGGAAAAGAGGCGGGAGGCCGCCCGTTCGCCTTCCGCGGCTCGCTCCGGCTAGACGAAGCGAAAGAGGGGAGGCGACACAGAGAACCCCAAAAATAGCGGCCGCCGCTCCAACCCGCCAGCTCTGAAAGAACCGTCTGAGGGAAGCGGGCGGGGCTTAACCCTGACGAACCACGCACGCGCGCTCGACGGGGTGGGGTGGGAGAGTGGGCCGGCTTCGCGTCTTGCGATTGGTTCGGTTGAGGGGGGGGAGAGAGAGGCGTGGCGCGAGCGCGCGGGAGGCAGAGGGAGGGGCTTACGCATTGGCTGAAGAAGAGATGGGGGGAGCCTACCTCACCCGACAGGGCGGAGAGGGTGCCGCAGCCCGAGGGGCGTGGCCTGAGAAAAGCAGCGGAGGACGTGAACGGAGGGGGCGTGGCCACAGGGGCGGGGTTTTGCAGAAGGAAAAGATGGGGGGAAAATCTGTAAATCACGTGGTTTCTCTTTGATTTTTTTTTTTGATTTTTTTATTTTACACTCCGTCCTTTGCAATTTTTATTTATTTCCTACCTCCGAAATTGCATTGGCCTCCCTTGAATGATTTTGCTTTTCTGGAAATGTGGTCCTGCGCTGGAGCTGCTCGGAAGAACAGGGAGTCCCAGAAGTGAATTTTTGAAGCATCTTAGAATTACCCCAAGAGGGTGAGATTTCTGCAGAATTGATGAAGACTAATTTTTCGGCTTAACATTTTTTTTTAATAAAAGCAGGCTGATCTCCAGGAAGCCCCTGCTCCGAGCAATGCATTAATCAATCAATATTTTTAAATATTGAACATTAGTTAAATGTTTATGCTGCCTCTCCTAGTTTTCTTGCAGACGTTTCATTATCCAAACTAAGTAACATCATCAGTGATAGAAAAGAGTGAAATTTGGGGGGGGGGGGGTGAGAAGGACAGATAGACAGACCAACAGAGTTGGAAGGGATCTTGTAGGTCATCTAATCCAACCCACTGCCCAAGCGGTCTCAGAGAAAGGAGGAGGAAGAGGAAGGAGGAGGAGGAAGAAGAGGGGAGGAAGAAGAGGGAGGAGAAGGAGGAGGAGGAGGAGGAAAGAAGAAGAAGAAGAAGAAGAAGAAGAAGAAGAAGAAGAAGAAGAAGAAGAAGAAGAAGAAG